AAGTTTGAAATTTAAATTAGACTACAGGCCACATTTGTCTGTTCTATTGTGCAATTGAAGCTTTTATTTAAGAAATAGGCTTAAAGATTTTTCAGTTAATGTTTCATATTCCTAGCAGAATATAGTCATTATCATCTGTTTATAGATCTAAAATCAGATTTATGTTTGTCTTATTTTTTCAAGATGAAATACACAAATCTGCAATCCTGTTACCTGCTTGATTGTTAGTGTGTGGTCCCACTCCAAGGTTACAAACAGCCTTTCAGTCTCGAAAAGAAAAACAGCAACACCAAGACTAAATGCCTGTTCTCTTTGATACTTATGAGCAACACTTTATTCATCCTGACATCTTCAGCAGGTCAACGGTAAACTGCTTAACAACAAAGTGCATAAAGCTTTGTGTTTGTTTCTTGTCTGTCGTGCAGATCTATGGGAAGTGGGTGCTGCACGTCGGCTCGTGGGACAAGCCCGGCCTTAAGAGCGACCTGCTGTCGGTGAACAGCTCCTGGGTTGAACTGTCACCATCCTCAGACAGCGGGGTCATCACCATCTACTGGGCCGACCGCCTGTAAGGACTCATGCTGAACCGTTGCAGTGTGTCATTTCTGCTCATAAATTAATTAACTGTGGAGTCAGTCAGTTGTGAATGTCTGATCTGCTGTACTTCAGTCATAGAGAACAGAGTATGGAGAAAAGTGCAAAAAAATCTTCATCCAGGCTAACAGCTGGCCTGTTTTTTATTGTTTTCAGGCTGATAAAATTGCTCTTTCTCTAAAACGACATACAAATGTGAATGAGTGCTACATTACGACACAAAAAAGGGTTAAATCTTGTCATCTGGACAGTTTCTTTTTGGGAGAAACGTTTCGGCTTTGACACAAAAGACTTCATCCATGTGAGGCCTGCCGACCCAGATCCGTCTTATAAATAGCACCTCCTTGATGTGTTTCAAGCCAGCCCTCAGTGGCGTTCCCATAAACTGGCTTTACACATGCAAAAAGGGGACCGTGCGTCCAAAACAATCAATCTTCATGCATAACAATCAAATGTGTTAGACCAGTTTATTCACAGAAACAGCCTGAAGACACCAAGGCCGAAATGGTTCAAAAAAGGTTTGAAAGCTCAATCAACATGTGGATAACAACAAAAAAGGTTCGATCATGTCATCTGGACAACTAGTTTCTGGGAGTTCCACAGAGGGCTGGCTTGAAACACATTAAGAAGATGCTATTTATAAAACAAATCTGTGTCGGCAGGCCTCAGACTGATGAAAATGTTTCTCCCAAAATGAAACTTGTTCAGATGACATGATTTAATATTTTTTAGAAATGTATCTACCTGGATGATTGAGCTTTCAAACCTTTTTTTCTGAACGCTGCATTAGCAAAAAAAAAAACTTCTCCATGTTTGTACAGCATGACACCACTTATTTAGTTTGTTAAAGTTACCAACATTTTAGTGACTTTGTCACAATATTTAGGGGAGTATTCAGAGACCTCTAGCTACACTTAAAAAAAAAATCTAATCGTCTAGCAACAAATCTAGTGACTTTTTCTTTGTGCAATTAGAGGCACTTGGACACATTTCATTCTCTTCTCAATGAACAAAAGGTGCTGCCATGGGCCCCTCGCTCATCCCAATTTGTTTGGAGCATAGACCCTAATAAAAAAAACAAACATTAGGAGTTAGACACCAAAGTCCATGCTCAATAATCCAGGTAATAATCCAACAATGTTCAGTCAGGTCGTCTGGACGGTTTCTTTTTTCTTCGTTGAGAAGATTCATCCTTCATCCAAAGGACTTCTTCAATCTGAGGAGCCACCAAACCTAAACTGATTCCCACAAACAACATACTCCACAGTGGACAAAACAGTTTGCTGGTGCTAAGATTAGGAGTTAGAACTCCTTACTACGGTGGCCGTGAGGTGTAAACGAACAACATTTGAACAAACAGAATTACATTTTTTAAAAATGCAACAAAAACGCAACAACATTTGAAAAAACGGAAGCCATTTTATGTTGTTAATAAAGTAAAAAATAAAAATTACACTGAAAATATCCCCCCCCCACCACTTCCAGTTTTATTTAATGTAATTCTGATTTTGTCAAATGTTCATTTACACCTCACAGCCACCGTACCCAACTCCTAACTTCACTTGGTTAGGAGTTATAATTATCAGAAAACATTAATTTTTTACTTCTAGTCTCTTTTAACTATTTTTATCTCTTACGGTGTATTCTTCTCTCCTACAGTGACAGTCAGTTATATAAATTAACTGAACATCACATAGTGAGTTCTATCAACTTTTAGGACAGTCAGTCTACTTTCAGAGAAGTTGGCGTCGCTGCTTCAGAACAAGGTCCGTGGTGGAAATGTCACGTTACATTCATAATAGAAATGTGCTCTTCTTTGTCTAGACATTAAGACTAGCCAGGAGGAAAACTTCTGCTCTGTCCTCCACACTCTGCTCTACGACTGATGTCACAGCTTCTCAGGCACTAACTACTGATAACTATATGACAGAACGTCACTTCAAAAACAACTACCACTTTAAAAGTTTTCTTTTCTCTTCACAGCAAAGACGATAAGTGCCTTCACGGTCCTGCAAACGCCACCATTTCAGGAACAACCAGCCACACCACGTGTATGTGCTTTAAATATTTGCTGTATTCAATGGTGGACAGTAATGAAGTACATTTACTTGAGTACTGTAATTAAGTACATTTTGTGAGTATCTTTACTTTACTTGAGTATTTGTGGTTTTAGGAACTTATAACTTTCACGCCATTACATTTCAAAGACAAATATTGTACTTTTGACTCCACTACATTTCTAGGAAGCTTCTCACTACTTGCTCCTTCTCGTTCAGCTTTTAAATGCAGATGGCCACTTGTTGATTCAGGCATCATGCTAGATTCATCTGTGCAGAACAGTCATTGTTTTGTAAGCTTCTATAAGTATGGCAGTATTTTCAGTTATCAGTGCTATAGTTTCCTCTCCTGTGTTAAATTGTTGCTGTCAATATATGTACTTTTACACACAAACAATGTGGTGTATGAATACTGAAGCTGCGGAAAAAACTAAATGTGCACCATCCGTTAGGATTTCCATGACTTTCCACAAACGTAAAATGCAGAGAAGATATTATTTGTAGTTTACAGGTTTAATTAAGGCATGTGGTGTTAGAGGGGTTCGACATGTCAATACATCATCAGGTGGTTTCAGAGAGTTACAAGGTTCTATAAAATCACTCAAAACAATACAGCAATGTACTGATATAAAATATAATTTGTACTTTTAAATAATGAGTATTTTTTTAAATGCATTTTTTGAATACTTAAGTATTTTCAAAAGTAAGTACTTCAGTATTTTAACTTGAGTAAACTTTTGACTGAGCAACTTTTACTTGTAGTTGAGTAAGACTTGACCATGAGTATCAACATTTTTACTTAAGTACTAGAATTGAGTACTTTGTCCACAACTGGGTGTATTTCATTTTCCATTTACTGACTCACCATCTCTGACTGTGCATGGAACCAAATCTCATTATGAAGGCGTGGGCAGATTTGAGAAGCAAACACTCATACAAAATAAATAAATATGGTTCATACTCATTTAAAGCAGCCCATTCGATTATATCTTGTGCATGTTCAACTGGTTTTCACCCATGTTTCCCCAGTTATCATCAATGGCCACACTTCCTATCATGATGGGAAGTATTATGAGACGTGCAGCGACTGTCTCCTGTCTGAGGACACCACTCTCCTCCCAGATGGCAAGTCAAAAGGACGATACCTGTTCCTCTTCAGTAAGACACGGGTCCTGTTTGTTATACTCTTTAGATTGCACTGATCAACACCTTTAGGATACAGCCTCACACGTTACTTCCTCTTTTTCAAGCACGGACCGGTTCTTTGGAGCCTTCCGAGTTGGACACCTTCAAAAAACAGGCTGAATGTCTCAAATTCCTCCCAGAGTACCACTTTGGAAGCACACGTAAGAAACCAGTTCCAGCTCTCAGTTCTTCAGCTAGTAGAGTAAACTGTACTCATTCTGGTTTTTCTTTTATGTCAGATCTGTGTCCAGACGGGAGGGAATCATCGGCTGCCAGGAGCGCAGAGGATGATGGAACTGAAAGTGCAGAGAGCAAAGAAGCTCAGTAAAAAGTCTCCATGGCTCTGCATGCGTTCAGCTTTTAACATGCACTAAACTGTGCTGCAGAATAACGTTTTCTTTCTCCTTCACATTCATGGAGCAGGAGCTCAAACCTCTGTGGTTGTCACGTCATTAATTCATCTTGTAGTTTAATTTGCAGAGTTAAACCTGAGATGTAATTGCTGAAAAAGTCCATGTCTTATTAAAACCAGTTGCTGTTTTTCCACTTCATGTGTGGTAAATAAAGTTTAATCCCCCTGAGTGGTTTTCTGGCTGTTTCCTGTTTTTGTTTTAGTCAAGAAGTTCCATCAAACCTTTACAGCCCCTCAAAAAAATGCTTTCCCTGTTCCCTGAACCTCACTGTTGCTGGGTGACGCTGTCAGCGGGGAGAAGAGTCCACACACAGGAACCTTTACTTCACCGATGAAAAGCTCGATCAGACCCTTTTTAAAACGTTTCAACAGTCCTGTGGCACTTTCCCCGACTTCATTCAGAAGCAACGATGCACGGAACAGAAGTCTGTTCAGGCCATCCAAAACATTTGCATGGCTACTGAAAAACCCCTTAAGCATTAAAGACCTCCCCCTGTTCACTTACACAACCACTTGTTTTGTTTGAAACACCGGAGAGAAAATGAATCAGTGTCGGAGGGTTTCTGCTGCAGCTTCAGCTCCATCCTCGGTGTGATCATGGCTCTGCTCGTCGTCGGGTTTCTGCTGACTCTGTCTTCACTCAGCGCAGCCTCGTCTCCGGACTGCAAGGACCTGGTCAAGCCTTTCATTCCAGATGACCCCAGTTCAGTAAGTTCTGGTTTGCCTTTTGTCCCCGATATGGATCAAAACACCCCATTTATTTATGAGAAGCCTCAAACATTTGCATTAAAGGTGTTTGGAAAGTGGGTGTATGTGTTGGGAGCTGGGGACCCTGCGCCGTACCACAAAGCTCTGGCGTCCCTGAGAAGCTCCTGGATCGACTTATCTCCCACTTCTGATGCTCAAACTGTGACACTGCGATGGGGAGATCACTGCTTGTGAGTTCACTTCTGTATGTTAAAATTATTAATCCTTTTATTGATATATTTTAATTCTGTAAGAGCTGATCTCTTGTTAGTAACCGGTGCATCTTCGGGGAGGTGAATGCAACCATCTCTGGACTTACAGCAACATTTCGCAGTATGTGGACCTCAGACATTTATTTTTACTTTGATCTGTAAATGACACAACATGGAATAAATAGTCCTGCTTTTGTAGAGAACTTGTCAGACCACAAAGGACAAATCCTGCAGACTTGCTCCAGCTGCCTGCTGTGGACAGACACCTTTCGAAACATGGACGCCACCGGCAGATTCATTCTGCAATTTAGTAAGTGCTGCTGTTTTTATTTAGGGAAAACAATCAAATATGCATCTAGGTCATTTCATTATTTAATCTCTTTCAGCGAGGACAGGACAAATAGATCCCAAAGATGTTGAGATGTTCAAGAAACAAGCAGAGTGTCTGAACTTTCCAAAGAACGTTCACAGCTTCGACAGTAAAACAGGTCGGTGGGTTTTCTTTAGCTCGCAGCTGCCACAAGGTGGAGATCTTCTGTTGGAAAATTAGATGAGTTTTTCTCTAGATACACATACAGCAATCCTCAAAATAATTGTTTTTATTCCATGAATGCACAAAGTCAATAAATATTGCCCCCCTCATGAAAAAGGTTTTGTCTCTGAGTTGCGTTTTCTTTTTCCAGAGTTGTGTCCTGACGAGACAGAGCAGCAGTGACAAGAGAGATGAAGATTTATGCACAGCAACGTGTGGAGGAAACATGCACATGATTATGTTTTGTGTTGATTTTTCTCTGATTTGGGCAAAAAGTTTTCTAACTGATGGGTAAGCTTCCATCAGAGATGCATTTATTCCCCATTTAAACAAATACATATTATTATAAGACCTCTTTAAATTAATATTTAGATTTAGTGAAATGTTTTAATTATGTAGTTTGGGAATTTTACAGTTTTGCCAACTTTCCCACAATTAGAAACTCAAGTGTCAGAACAAGCTGTTCTTTGGTCATTTGTGGGGTGTTTACGTCATTCATAATATTAGTAATGGTATCCAGAAAAGTTTGCACAATTGGTAAATTAACAAGATATTTAAAGGAGCTGTGTCTTAGTTTGCCTGATGTGAGGCCCACAGTCCTAAACTTTAAACTTCCACTTCTTTTATTTCATACCCGTCTGTATGTAAGGTAAAAAGACTCGTTAAATACCGGTGTTTTGTGAAAATACTTTGTTTGGAAATGATGCAGAAATGACTAACAGCTGTAGATACATCACATGTAATAAGATTAAAACATATTTTGATTCTTGGTTTTTATTTCTACATTTGATTCAGAGCATGATGAGATTAGGTAGACTTTAAGAAACCGTTTTACAGTGGCTGTAAAATTAATTTGACACGTTAAAGTGTAAATATGATGGCTGCAGGTGGACAGGCGATACATCTGCATTATTGACGGGAAAAATGAATTCAGCGCAGTAAAACACTTCTACTTTAAAATGTTTCAATGCTTCTCGTTCGTTTTGAGCTTTTGCTCAGGGGCGCCACTGCTCATATAAATATGCTGACTGGTTTATATGCCTAATCAATCTGTTAGCAAAATATCTCAAGAAACTTCAATTTTAACAAAACTGCCAATGTAATCATTAGATGTACAAACTGACATGTTTGGAGCTGATCAACCTTAGAAAGAACAAAAACGATTCATCAGTTTTACAGATTATTGAGCTTGGGTGTGGTAGCAGCTGACAGTCATGCCCTCCACATACCGACTGCTAACAGAGTTTGCAAGATCATAGTTTAAAACTTTGGCATCAGGTGATATGCATTCTTTCAATTATAGTTTTAATTATGTGAATTTAAGAGAAGATTGGACAAGCTCTGCTATTCTCCATTAGCTAAATCAATTGTAAAGCACACCGTTTGTCAATTAGCATATATGTTACAGCATTATAACAACGCCAGAAATTCTCTATTGGCTTTTAGTTGTGTGGCATTGCCCCAAGAGTCATGGTGGCCACCATCTAGCCACATGTTTGAACTTTTTCTGGAAACCTCATTTTCCTTTTACAGTTCAAACAGAGCCTGGAGTTTTCTTCTGTGGATATATGAGCAAGTTTAAGAGTCCTCGGCTCCTCAGGTCTCCAGCCTGTTGTACTGCACCCCCATGTCATTGTGAACACTGTCCATCTTGCAGGATCTGCTGCTGATGGTTGATCCGCTGGTTCTGGTGCTGCGAGTCTCTAAGCTGCTCTCTCCACTTGCCAGTTTTCTACACCTCAACAGCGCCGCAACCTGCTTCTGGCACTGAGAGGAGCCGTAGTAATAGAGGACCGGATCCAGACAACAGCTCAGGCTGCCGACACACATGGACAGCAGGTAGGCTTTGTAGGAACCGTCACTGGACGTGTGGGTCATCTGAACATAGTGAACCATCAGGAGGATGTTGGTGGGGGTGAAGCAGACCACAAACACAAGCAGCACCACCACAGCCATCACGATAGCCCGAGTCTTCTTGGAGCGATTCGCCACATTGGCTGCAGTTAGAGCTTGAACGATGCGTACGTAACAGACGACGGTGAAGATGAGAGGGATGAAGAAGAAGACGGAGGAGTAGATGGGAAAGAAGTAGAGATAGTAAGACTGCAGAGTCTCCGCATCCTGCACATCGTGGCAGGTGGTGATACCGAGGTCTGATAAATGGATGGTCTGTTCGGAGGTCAGAAGGGGGACAACCCCTCCCAGGGACAAGAGCCACATGGCAGCGCATACAGCTGAGGCAGTCTGAGGGCTGCGCCACGTCAGGGACTTCATGGGGTGAACCACAGCCAGGAAACGGTCCAAGCCGATACACATCACCAGCAGCACGGAGCAGTACATGTTGCAGTGGAAAGCTGCTGTGACAACTCTGCACATGAAGGAGCCGTAGATCCAGTCGTTGCCATGGTAATGGTAGGCGATTTTGAAAGGAAGAAGCAGGCCAAACAAAAGGTCAGCACAAGCCAAGTTCAGCATATAGATCACTGCTGGCTTCTTGGGATGGATGCGATGCACAAACATCACCGTGGCAACAAGGTTGAGGGGCACACTGATGATGAAGACCAGAGTGTAGATGGTTGGGATGAAGGCATTTGCCAAGCGACCCTGGAGAAATTCTTTGGTTTCCTCCGAGATGAAGTAGCGACGGTGTTGGCTGTGACCAGGTCTTTTCCTCGGTTCCTGCTCCATGCCTGAACCTCCATCATCATTCAGCAGGTCCAAAACAGACAAGTCAATATATTCTGGAGGCTCGTCAGTGGCAATGACGAAGTGACGGGAGAAAGTCCGAGGGATCAGCGCAGAACCTTAGAGAAAGAGACAAAGCAGAAATGACCACCAGGGGGTTTCACGTTTCATCTAATCTGCAAAATATGTGAAAGTAGAGGCACCACCAGGGACACCCCCCTTCCTTATGACAGTCTTGTATGTATAATCTGTTAGCAAAATATCTCACAAACTACTGAATGGATTTTATTGATATTCAAAGTAATTCTTGGCTGTACTGCATTTAGAAAACAATTTGCTTTTCTGAGCTGACCTGATTCAAAATGGCAGCCACAGCTAGTCAACCTCAGACACAAACATGTCTAACTCAGCATTACAAATATTGACAAAGCTTGGTGTGGTAGTAGCAGGCAGTCATCCCTTACACATACATCATTTGCTGATGTCTTATGAGACCTTTATTTAAAACTTTGACATAAAAAGCAGATGATGTGCATGCTTTCCAGAAATTGTAGTTTTAATTATGAATAAAATAACCAGCATCAATAAGATAAATAGCAACTGTGCTGAATTAGAAAGTCCAAGGTAAGATGTTAAATATAAAGTAAGACTATCATTCCTCAACTCCCATAATGCATTTTTGTTTCTAAATAGCCTTTTTGTCACAAGAGTTAAGTAAAACTGGCTTATACCACAAGATTAACAGTTGCTCTTATCTGACATCTTTAAACATTTACTGGAGGTACCTCTTGTAAGAGCTTATTTTTTATCCGAGTAGTAATGTGTGTGCGTGGCAATAACCTTATAGTGTAACTTCATTTTATAAAATATACTGAACAGAACAATAAATCATTAAACATTTTTACCCAAAGTAGCAAATAAAACAGTGCTACACTTTGCTGATTCAAGAGAAATCTTGAAAATTCACAGCTACAAGCTGCAGAAAATACAGGCTCGTGTACATTTCAAATACTACCACTGCAACCATTTTAAACAAGTAGTTTTCAATAAGTTTTGTAGAAGTTCCCGAAAATGCACGTCCATATGTGTCGAGTATTCGAATTGGAATCTAAACTTACGGTACATGATGTTCATTATTGTGTTTAACAAATCGTATTGTTTGTTTTGTGGCTATACCCAATTACTGATGCATTCAAGCAGCGAACGCTTCATCCCTTTCAATAAGAGGTAATAAAATACATTTTCTATCTTTAAACCCACAGAACCCCCCCAACATTTTCCAATAGTTGATCATAAACAGTGACAGAAAGATGAACAAAGTTCAACTTACCATTCTGAGAGGGGCGCGCTGACATTCGGTCAAAAAACAAAAACACCCCCGCTAACAGCAGAAACTTAGCAATTGTGTGCATTCTCCAAATCTTGAAGGGGTAAGATGAAACGATCCTTTTGTCAGAGGGGTTAATGTGGACGGTCTCTTCTGGAAGCACAAAACAACTGGGAAGCCAGAGAAGATACTCCACCTTCCCTCCTTGCTGTTCTCCTCCCCTTTACTGAGAAGTACTGAGTCATTTACAGTAAACCTAGCTCAGAATATTTGATCCTGAAGAAGCAAACAAATTATAGCTTATTATAAAAATATATATTAGATGAGAAAAAGAACAGCACAAAGTACTTGTGGACGTGTGTACTTTATTCTGCACATCATTAAAGCATTAGGAAACAATTATACAGATAGAATAGTCATATTAAAACATCAGTTACAGCTTTAATGTTAAATTAAAACATTTATCCTTAAATGTTTAAAAGGCACTGGTAAACTGTAGTATTTTATATTGAAGCAGATCAGCTTTGTTGCTCTCTGGCTCGGTTTCTGAATGTTGCAGCTGCTGCTTCAATTTTCATCCTAAAGTTTTGCAAACGTACGTTTTCTCTCAACTTTTACATACAAAACATGAAAATCATTACAACTGTATTCATTTACAATCAGCCCACAGTAACATACACAACAGACACACAAAGTTGATGTTCGATTTTGATACGTGTTAAACTTCAACCAAATTAAAACAAAATAGGCGTGTCCTTTTCTGACTCATTTTATTTTGGTCATCAGAGGTCAGAAACCTGCTCCTCTCACTGCTCCTGCTGCCTCCCCCTCTTTCATTTCCCATAAAACTTCTTGTTCAGGAGGAAGATGAGTAGATTGACATTAACTTTGGCTTTATCGAACATCTTCATGACGGCCACACCTTCGTACTGCAGCTGCAGGAGGTCCTGGACACAAAACACAAAAGCTGCTGTAAAGAAATCTCTAAGTTTTTGAATACTTTGTCATAAATACCACCGTTACATAATTCAACCAATTGCCTCATTTCTTACAGTTAAAGGCTTTTGGTGCAAACAATGTCTACATTTCCTTGGTACTGCCTGTCAGCAGTCCACAGACAGAAACAGGAAGAGTAACCATCTGTCCTGATCATGAAGCTCCAACACTTTTGGGAAATGTTTACCTGGAAATGAAGCTGAACTTTTTCCATCTCAACCCCCATAAACTTGGCCTTCACCTCAAAATCTCCAACTTCCTCAGTGGGTGAAATGTCAAACATGACATTTTTAAACCTGAGGGGGAAAAAATAAAAAAATCACATTTGAAATTTCAAATGTACTTCAAAAGGAACTCCAAAAAATGCTCGGATGTTTGAATTATTGAGTCTAAAATGTTAAATATATTTACAGCTCTGAGCATTTATACATTATTAAAAACATCTCACAAAGCTCACCTCATCTTTCTATTACCGGTAATTCAAAAATGTTCAGGTATACAGTAGTCTCTCGCTACTTCGCGGTTCGTTTATGGCAGATTCGCTCTATCGTGGTTTTTCAAAATAAAATTATACATGACACACAAGTGGCTGACTGATGGATGATCCGCATGATTGGCATGACATTTTTACTTAAAATAAAGTTTAAATTATTTAGCACCTGCTGCACATTTGTGCAGCCCAGAACAGCAGAAAAAGCTTCCTCCTGTGTCTGTGCAGCCCTTACTGCTGCAGGATAAACTTCCTGCAGCATATACATATATATATATATATATATATATATATATATGTATATATAATAAAATAAAATAAACTATTACTTACTACTTGTACTACTATTTCTACTTCGCGGTTTTTCACTTATCGTGGGTCTTTAGGGTACGGATCCCCCACGATAAACGAGGGACTACTGTAATGTTTGATCCGTCTCCACTTTGAGGAAAAAAAAAAACTGAATGTACTTAAAATGTAGCTAAAGTATGAAGCAATAGATTCTGTTTTAAATTCATTCAACAATTATTTTTTCATTTCTGCACAGCTTGCTTGTATACATTTGCAGATATTTAATCTTATAATTAATTTTGCATGATTTTGATCATAATTAAATGGTAATACACCAATTTATTTGGGGACAGATCACTTGGGAAGAGTCACATTTGTCACTTTCTGATAGAAAAACAGCTTTGAACCAGTTAACTTACTGGTTCGTCTGAAGCCCTTCGATCTCCAGGATTACTCCCTTCTCATGCAGCCGAGCAGCGGTGTACTTCAGAGACTGTGGTTTCCACTTCTTACTGTCCTTTTTGTCTCCTTTGTCCAGTTTTATTGACCTGCGTGAATTCCTGGACACAAAACAGTCAGTTTATATTAAGAATTGCCAACAAAAAATTTTTGCAAGAAACATCAAACAAGACCAAAAAAATGGAAATCAAGAACACGATACGCTAACAGAGAGTAAGAGTTATTTAAAGTCATTAAAACGGGTCAGGAAATTCAACTCACTTCCGGTTGAGGTTATCCAGACACGTCTTGATGTAAGTATCATAGTAGTTCATCTGTTCCTGGTAGAACGCAGCTTTTGAGTTGAGCGCCGTCAGCGCCTGTTGGAGCTTCGTGAGCTCGGCCTTCCTTCTCTGTCTGTAGCGCCTTTGGTAGCGAATATCCTGTCAAATTAAAGTTTAATCTTAATGCTTTGAAACAGAAGAGTGATTTCAAACCCTAAGAATGTGCATCTTTACACAGGAAGGAAGAAGTGATGATGAACCTTTGCGATGTCATTGATGAGGTCCTGGTATTTGTTTTTCTCGGTGACCAGGCCGGCCTGCTCAAGGTTACGGAGATTCCTCAGGATCTTCCTCTTCTTCTGCTCCAGAGGCAGCTGGCTGTCCTCTAACACCGCTTGGCTGCTCTTCAGATCCTCCGGCGTCTGAGCATCCTGGACTGCCCTTCGCTCTACAATCTTCATATGCTCCAACTCCTAAAAGAGAAAAGCATCGTAAATTCACAACAACGGTACCACAATATGCGGTTTGAAAACAAAACTGTAAAGCATCTGGGTGAGGAAAAACAAGCCCAAGAGATCTGACCTGGGGTGGGGTTGCTGGGATCTCAAGAATTTCAGACAACGACTCTCCTGGTTGAATCCGAACTACATCAACTATTAGCTTTTTAGTCCTGAAACAAAAAGGAAAAAACAGACAAATAAATGCTTCATTATTCCCAGACCTGTTAGAAATGTCAGGCAGCAAAGTTTGAATCTTTTCAAGTGGTCAGGATCAACAATTCTTCAGGCTGTTTGAAGCTCTTTCAAAGCTTTTCCTTCACCCGTTTTTTTTTTTTGGTCCTTCACTCATTTTTGCTCTCTGACTATGAAAGCTTTTTACGTAATGTGCTTTAAGACAATGATGAAATCCAGCAACGTTTTCAGCTAATAACTTATCAAGAATCACAAAGTTGCAGCTAAAACATTATTTTCAAATGATTAGAAAAGAACGGACGCCAGTAGGAAAAGAAAAAGGTTTTGTGACATGTTTTCGTTTAGAAAACTCCAATGGAGACTTTTGAGAAAATGAGAACGGATGCAGGTTTACAAACCAGATAAGGCTAACCTCAGAACCACTTTCTGCTGTGGACAGGAAATGACAGAGGAGCAGGAAGGACAGCTAAGATATGCAACTGAGCGACAGTCATAAAGACACAAGAACTGTGTCACTAAGGCCAGCAGATCACAGGATTAATCGCTCTGAGTGTGAGTGTTATGGAGACTGTCATGAAAGAATTAAAACGAGTGGAACATAAAAACATGATGTGGACTTTAAATGATTAAACCTTTTATCTTAGCATGTGCGCCAACCATAAACTCACTTTGTCATCAGAGTCTTAAAGTCTTTGTCGTCCCCGTCCAGCAGTTCAAACTTGCTGGTTAGGGTGAGGGAGATCTCCGTCTTTGACAGCTGGCTCAGAGTGCTTTCTCTGTTCGGGTCGTTTGGGTCTACAGCTCCTTCGCCTGGAAATTTAACAGCCCAGCATGTAAAACTGGAAAACATGGGATCAAACTGGAAGTAACTTGAAAGTTGAAGATAGTACCAAGCAACGCCTCCACATCAGGAACATCCCCCAAATCCTGGAGCAGCTCATGAAGCAAATCATTGTGCTCTGGTGAGATGGCCTCCAGATGTTCCAGAAGCAGCTGCACAAAAACAAGTGCTATTAGTTCAACATGGTCAACTTAAATTTCAAGTTAGTTACTGAAACTAGAGTGAAAAGACAGTTTCAAACACACACAAAACAACAATCAGTTTCTTAGCAGCTAAAAATTAAAATCAGCATCACATATGATTTTAAAATAATGTGTAAACAGAAGAGCTGAAGAAAAATATCTTCAAAGTGTAACTATCTTGTACAGAAGATCAAAAATGATCAATATGACATTATCAGGGAGCAACATTAACATCATATAGGATTTTAAAATATTGCAGATATAAGTAGGAAGCACAAAAGTTTAAATTTGGCAACCAGATTGACACCAGTAATCTAAAACAATGGTTCCCACAGCTGGGGTCATGATCCCACTGTGGGTGTAACACTAAGGGAAAAACAGAACATCTATAGGAATTTAATTCTCTTTAAAAATTAATGCAAATAGCACAATAAGTAATTTTCTTTCAGCTGCTCCTTCTGCATGGGTTACCACAGCGAGTAGACTTGCATAAAAGATGAAGAAAAAACTAATTATCATTGAATAAAACATAAAATGTTTGAGGAGGCTCTTGGTTAAGTGGTTTATTAACAATGTTCATTTACTTTCAGATGAAAATCACTGTTTTAAATGGGGGCAGCACGGTGGCGCAACTGGTAGAGCTGCTGCCTCTCAGCGAGCAGGTCCTTGGTTCAAACCCCGGTCCAGGGGCCTCTCTGGGTGGAGTTTGCATGTTCTCACCGTGCATGCGTGGGTTTTCTCCGGGTACTCCGGTTTCCTCCCACAGACCAAAAACATGCATGTTAGGCTGATTGGTAACTAAATTGTCCCTAGGTGTGAGTGAGCGAGTGAATGGTTGTTTGTCTCGTTTGTCTCCATGTGGCCCTGTGATGGACTTGCGACCCGTCCAGGGTGTACCCCGCCCCTCGCACAGTGATTGCTGGACATGGGCACCGGCGACCCCCGTGACCCAAATTGGAAGAAGCGGGTAAAGAAAATGGATGGATGGATGTTTTAAATGGCCCAAAGCCAACAGAGTGCTGTGAAGATTTTGTGGAGTTCTCACAATAGATACCACAATATTCAGCACTAATATTCCAACTGCATGTTGACCTAATATCATGCAGCTTTACTCTAGCTGTTGTGTAGAAATTGATGACAAATGGCAGCAGCCGGCTTTTGGTGATCATCCACTGAACTCTCAAACACGAGAGTAGATTTGTCAACCAGCTCGGGGCTAATTTTGCCATCTCTGTACTAGGGATGAACAATTAATTGCATTTGCAATAATATTACGATATGATAAAACGAGATTTTCTAATTGCAAAGGCTGCGATTTGACTGGTCACGTGATCTGGTTATGTGACTTACGAGTGAGCGGAGCAAAGCAGAGCAGGGAGCGGGAGAAGTCAACACTGCGCTCTAACCATTTGCACAATGGCGTCAGACTCGACAGAAACTAACACACCTGAAAATTTGGTACCAAAGAGTGGCAGCACGTCTGTTGTTTGGAATTATTTAGACTATAATAAAGAAGATGATGCACAACGACACGTATTGTGCAGAACCTGCCTTGCTGCTGTTGCTACCTCTCGAGGTAACACCACAAAATCTTTATAAACACTTAAAAAAATACCAAAAAGACATTTATGATAGTTGCATGGCTAGAATGCCAACGACCAGTGCTTCAACTTCAAGTAAGCAAAGTAGCAGCCAACAGGGATCACTGACCGAACTATTCAAAAGATATTACTCCGTATGAACATAATTCAAAACGGCACGTGGAAATAACTCGAGCAGTAACGGAGTTCATAGCGAAAGACATGATGTCCATTAATATAGTGACCAAGTCTGGGTTTACAGCTTTGGTAAACACAGTGGATAAGTGGTACAGAATGCCCTCGTGCACACATTTTAGCCAAGTTGCTATTCCTGAGCTACACAAAAAAAATACAGAAACAAAGTTGCAGTGGAGCTGAAAACTGGAGTTTTATGCAACTGAAACAGACTGATTTATTGCTTGTGTTCAATGAAAAATACATGAGAAGAACACATTGAAAAATAATCACATATTAAATCGCAATCACAATATCGAGGTAAAAAAAAAAAATCGCAATGACAATATTTTTCAATCAGCCCTACTAAACTTATTTTCTGTTTTCTTTTCACACACTGATATTCTGTTTGGATCAGTTTGGCTAGATTTATGAACAAGAATTTATTAGGTTCATGAATGGTTTGTGGTTCCCTGTAAATGACAGTTCTACTACAAACTACAACTACTAGAGTCTTCTGTTCATATTTGTGATGCCACGTTGTTCTGGAAACAAGCAGCAGAAAGAAACTGGAGAATGAGCTGAATCAGAGTAAGAATGCATAAAACTGCAGGTGTTCTGTGTTTTGCCTTCCTGTTATCAAGTTAACTCGACACCAAGAGTCATTAAAACACCTGGTAAGAGCTGTTTGTTTGGTTTGGGTTTACTGTTTGTTTGGTTTGGGTTTACCGAGTGAGTGTTGATGATCTCCTCTATGGAGATGTAGATGATAGGTTTGCTCAAGGTCACCATGTCAGTGTATTCATCGATATTAAACTTCTCCTCGGGTTCAGGAACATCACACGCAGACTGGAAGAATAATCTGGAGGAAAAGTTCAGGTGTTAATCTTTGAGGTTTAAATACCACAAAGTTAAGACAAACAAAAATATGCAATATTATTGAAAGTCCCTTCGTCAAGATCCTGCATTTTCTTTATCCTATAATCTTTTCTCCTCCTAGCTGAGGTAAAACTGGTCCAACTGACTAGTTTTACAAAAACTGACTTCTTTTCTTGTGGGGCCCTGTGATGGACTTGCGACCCGTCCAGGGTGTACCCCGCCCCTCACACAGCGATTGCTGGACATGGGCACCGGCGACCTCCGTGACCCAAAATGGAAGAAGTGGGTAAAAGATAATGGATGGATTTTCTTGTGGACTTCCAGTAATGACACATACACTGACCAAACTGCCTCTTATTTGGAAGTCTGGACATCTCTGGCACAGAGTTTTGTGAATAAAACTGTCTTCTGTCTGCTGATTTAGTGGAGAACAGCTTCCTCTTTTAGCAGAATCATGTCTGACTTCATCACATCATCCTATCCTCACTTTTTAATCAAAGCATGTTTATCAGCACCTTTTTTCCTCCCATACTCCTGACTTTGTTATTAAAAGGAAGCTTTGTTTCCCCATCCCTTGCACCTTTGATTATTTATGGTTTCTGGATGTTGACAGAACAAAACTAGTCTTACCTGAACTTTTCATATGTCTGAGATATGTAGTTGTTCATTGGCGTCATGTGTGCATTCTCGCCCTCAAACAGCTTATTTGCAGCAGCATGTTGAAGCATCTTTGCCACAGATCCCAAGTTTCGCCGCTGGTCGATGTGAAGCTGCCCTCCTGCTGACATGTCGATGATGTCAAAGCCATCTGGAGCCACGATGGCTGGGTTCATGTAGCGGTAGTAGAGCAAGTTTCCAACAATCTAACAATTCAAAAGCACACAACCATCAGGCGTAGACAGAAGATTCTGTAACAAGCTCGGCACACAACATTTTTTAACGTTCGCGTTTCTACCTTCAGCAGCTCATCTTCAGAGGCTTCTGGGAACTTTTGATGGAGGCTGTTCTTCAGAACCTTTGCTATATATCTCATGCCATAACTGCATGCAAAACAAAAAGTAATGATGGGAAATTATAAACAAAAGAACGTGCATTCGCGTGCTCCGGGACGAACATACAGCTACATACATGCACAAGTAGCACCATGAGAATCTGTCACAGAGATCATATTTTAAGAGGACGGTAAACAGATCTTAAAACTCACGGGATGTTATCCAGCGAGGACACAATGGAGTTCAGGACTTTATCTGTAGCCGAGCGCAGAGCTGCACTGGACGCCTGCAGCCTGCTGCGCACCTCCTCATGCGACATGGCCTGTTCGGGAGTCACTTCATATGGCAGTTTGCTGAAGGGCAGCAACAGGAAGTAATGATTTTATTTATTTAAGGAAATACTTGAGCCCTATCAAACATACTCATTTTCACCAGCTATCTTTGAACTTACCTGGCCTCTCCAGTAGCCGTCTCCAGCTGGTTCACCCAGGCTTTGTACACGTCCACAGGGTTGGTGTTGATGCCCAAACTCTTGTCTTCAATAATGTCTTTGACCACAGGAGCCAGCAGCTGCCGCAGGGTGTTGTGACCACGTGCACCTCTGTTGAAGCTCACCACCATCTTGATAACTGTGGGGTTACCTGTCACTATGTCCTGAATCAGATCCACCTTAGAACTGAGACACATTGGAAACTATGATGCACGTGCTCACTAGTGTCAACAAAATATAGATTACCTTACATGTTTATATGATGTATAAAAACTTAATACAGTTACAGTATGGATTAGTACGAAACATTTTTTTTTTTTTTTTAAGATTTTGACATTATTTAGAGTAGCAGTTCTTACTTGATCTCTTCCTCTAGAGCAGTTTTGAACAGTTTAAGCAGCAGATATTCCTCTCTTTGGTTGGAGGCGTAGTTATAAAGTGTGAAGATTACAGTGTCCATAAACTTTGTAGATTTGTTTTGGGGCATCTGAAAGATCAGCTTTGCCAGGTAGGAGGGATTGGTCTAAAAACAAAGGAGTGTTCAAGGTATTGCATCTTTTCAAATAGCAAATATAAAGTCATGGTAATAAATAAAGCATACCTCATAGACCTTATTGTGGCATACAAAAATGTTTACTGAGCCTCAAAACGAGGAATTTACATTAAATAAATGGTAAATGGACTGTACTAATATAGAGCCTTTCTATCTTATTTCAAGACACTCAAAGTGCTTTACACTAGAATCTGTGCCTCATTTACCCATTCATACTGCACTCTACTAGATCTATACAAAGCTAATTGAACAAATCATTCTAAAGAGACTAATCAGTGGTTTAGATCACATTCATACACTGATGGGACACACATCAGAGGCTATGAGGGGTTCCGTGTCTTGCCCAGGGACACTTCAGCATGTGATTGCTGGTGGATTCGAACCCCCAACTCTCACATTGGAGGACGACTGCTCGAACCACTCAGCCACAGCCGCCGATGATAACTGATGATCAATGCACTTCTCACTTATGAAGGTATTGATCTTGCACTTTAGTTAGCTTTTAGTAAAATGAATTACACAGTATATGTGATGCTTGGTTTTAAAATCTGGAAATTTGATTTTTTTTTTTATGCATTAGAATATGTGCATTAAAAAGTCATAAAACTGGGGAAAAATGTACCATGTGGTTCGAGTGCAGACCTGGTGCCATGATGCGTCAGTATCATACCTGCAGCAGGTAAAAGAGGTGTTGATAGGCTTCCAGTTTCCTCCTTTTGCCTTTGCTGAGACCTTTAATACCCAGTCCGTCTCCACCAGTCTGCTCATCTTTACTCGCTTTATCTTTCTCGTTTTTCATTTTCTTATTATGCGTCACAACATCCTGTTTAATGAAAACAAACAATAAAAAAGGAACTCCTTCTAAACAAACTAAACATTTGCACGTTTATGACGGCTATGTTACAGAGACGTGATTAATGGAGTATGTAGTAAACTTGTATTAAATCTGTTTCCTTAAAAGTTTTCGTGTTGCAAACCTGCAGAGAGATCCTGTTCTTGACCAGCAGTCCGATTTTTATGTCCATCAGATTTAAGTCTTTCTCCATCTGTTGATTGGAACGAATCTTTGTGACCACTTCCTCCCTGAGCTGTGTCACTTCCTGCTCTTCCCGTAAATCCAGGGGGCTCTGCTCCAACAAGTGCACAAACTTCCGCACCACCGACAGAGGAGGATCTGAGGCTCCAGCTAAAATGTGACCAACAAAGTCAGCAAAAGCACTGGTCCTGGTTTAAATACAAACACCAGCCATGACCTCGTTTTTCTTTTTTTAGCAAAGAGTTCCACGTTTTCACACAAATAAAATCAATGATTTGTCTTATGAGTTTGATTAAAGTTTTAGCTTCACAAACAATCAAAGTGTCAAACGGATTCAGACTCACTCAAAGTTCTGTAGTCGTCTCTGGCTTTGTTCGCCTTTAGGAAAGCCTGAATTTGCACAATTTCTTTCTCCTAAATTAAATTTAAAAAAAAATACACAAAAAGCAGTGAGTCTTAAGCAGCATGTAAGAAATAGATAAATCACTGACTAATTTTAGGGTACTCACGTGATCTTTGAAGAACTGCAACCTCTGATTGTATTTTCGTTTTGCCTTCCACATTTTAACGATTGACTGGATCTAAAAACATCAGCACATGGCAGGTTTGATAAAGAAGCTATTTATGCAAGTACAAACTCATTTAAGGGTTTACTCATCTACCACTTAGGGTGTTTGTTGATTTAAAGAGGTTGGTGAACAAGCCTTCACTTACAGTTGTGTGGTCACTTTGTAATAATTTTCTTAGATTAAAAATACAACATTAATAATAATCACCTTGACTACAGAAGCAACATTTTGTTGAAGCAAATTTTTCCTTTGTATGTATATTTTCCTCTGCTTGTAACCTTTCCAGCAAACCTGAAAAAAAGGAAAAGCAAAATTTAAAATAAAAAATAAACGTGTATAAATAGCAGGTTTGTTAGAATGCATTTTTTAACTTGGATAAGCAACAATATCATCACTACACGTGTACAATGCCCGTACAGCATTTATATACAACAGTAGGGATGCACGATATTATCAGCATGGTATCGGTATTGGCAGATATAGCGTTAAAGTTAAATATCAGCCATTCCATCAAAATAACTCACCGACATCAAAGACGCTGTTTTTGTACGACAACCCAGTGACAAGGATGCCTGCAGCTGCAGCACAACGTGATGACGTCACGCGCTCCTACCTGATCTGATCACGGCGGAAGAAGTCAAAATGTCGGCGGTGTGGAAGGTTTTTTTCCGTTGAGGATGTTGGATTCCAAAGATTTTTGGACTACGTTGAGCCTCGCTACATCGTCCCAAGTCGGAAATATTTTTCTGACGTAATCTTACTCGAGTTACAAGCCGTCATTTCCAACATCATTGAGAAGCTAATAATCGATAGCACTTGGGTGAGTTTTACCACAGACATTTGGACGTCGTGTTAGCCCCGTTAGCATGATTAGTCTTACGGCACAATGGATAGAGAAAAACTTTGAACTTAAAAAGTCTGTCCTTCATGCACAAGAGTGCAGAGGATCCCACACTGCAGCTAGGAACCTGGAACAAGCCTCCACAAGTGAGACAGCATCGCAGGTGACTAATGCTAATAATATTTAACACGTTTCATTTAATAAGTTAAAGTGCAATGAATATCATATGGCTGTTGCTGAATATATGTCACAGCTCTTACAGCTGTTACACAATTGTTGTAGCAAATAAGCCTAAATAGGAGGGCTATGTTCTGACAAAGGAAAGTATATTAAAAATATTGGTATCGGTTAATCGGCCAAATAAGTTTTAACATATCGGCCAAAAGTCCAATATCGTGCATCCCTATACAGTCGTCTTGTTAAAGTGCTACTCTGTGTAAAAAAGACTTATTTATAAAGTTCATGTGTACCGATGGAGCCAAAGATCAACTAATGTTCTTTCAAACATCATATTTCATACCTGGATTTTAACTACAGATGGTTCTTGTTGGCGTAAATACTCCATCCTCTCAGTGTGCTTTTTTCTGACCAGGTAACCTCTTACCCTCGCCTGCAACTGGATAATGAAGGATTCGTTGGCAAGCCATAGTTGCTTTCGGTTATATTCTGCCGTCACACAGCTGACTACATTCTGACAAAGAGGAAAAAGTAATCCTGTTAACCCAAACAGCAGCACAGTCATGGTTCATTGTACTCCAAAACACCATAAGACTAATTATTGGGAGGTTTAGTCTCCTAGTAGAATGATACTTTTAAAGTAGTACCTGGATGTCCTCTTTGCTGAGCTGGCCTGCACTAGGTTCAAATCCTTCCGGTTCCTCCCAGGTGCCCTGTCCAGTCTCCAGGTTATAATAGTAGTCATACATGTCCTTAATGCAGTGTTTAACCCACACACCATCACTGATACCTGTAGAAATGCAGAAAATACTTGGTTTAAAAAAAATTCTCAGTGTATGAATCTATTTAACACACATCACATCACCCTTTCTGAGGAATTCACTAGAAAGGGGGATTTTAAGTGTCCTGAGGTTTAATTTATCACAGTTCAGAAGTTTGTTTTCCTTCTAGGTTAAACCTTATTGGTCAATTTAAGTGAGAACCAAACGTACAAGTTATGTCTGAGATAAAAGGTCAACAAATATGCAATCGCTGTCTCGTACCCACCTGCTCTGTGGGAAAGTGGTAACAGGAAGACACTTGTGGCTGATTAAGGCAGAGTTTATTCTTGTTGACCTTGTGATGCAAGTGAAATTTAACAATTCATGTTAAATAACCGTTTTAGCTAAATGAAGCTTTCATGATGTTATAAATTCATTTTCTTTCACACCAGGCTGAAGCTGAAAGAGTTGGACCATGTTTTCTACTATACATTCATACACCAGAACCATTTAAATTGTACTTAAAATATACATCTACACACTCATGTCATCAGGATGAAGCAAAGAATAAAAAAATCAACTTAAAGGTTGTGCATTTACATACTGGTGTCAGCTGTCTTTTATAGGCCTGTGTAACTTTTTAACTAAAATATTTATTTATTTGTCCGTTGTTTAGGATGTAATACATATTTATTGGTATATCCACATTTGTGAATTGTAGTCTTGTGCCAACAATGCTGTTTTTACACAAGCTTGTTCATTACCATTACCAGTAAAAACAATGTCTGTCTTATGACTCTCATTGTGACATGTTCCAGGTGATCTTGAGAATTAGAATGGATTAAACCTTGAACAATTTATATCCTGGATATTCTGAATTTGCAAACTAATATATAACAGACACAATGCTTGTAAAGTGCAGTTACCTTTATCAGTATGTGTGTTTTGTAGCTGTGAGAGTTCAGCCTGGTACGTGTCTGCACATTTAGGATGCACTGCTCTCAGTCCTGCAGTGGGGGCCTGCAGAGCCTGCAAGGTGTTCTGGGAGTCTCCTTCAGCTACCTTTGTGTTAATATGAGCTACAGCCCCAGCCACTAACAAAGCACATAAGAAAACAGAACAGAAATTGCAGCGTAATCAATGAAAAGTGAAGTACAGTATATACACATCAAGAAACTGATTTTTTTAAAGCAAAAATAGCACAAATTTATGTAAAGAAACTTTTAGAAGACAACGGCATTTGCCAAACGTGCATAAAATGTGAAATCACTTTTTCTTTTTTTTGCTTTACTAGGATTACAAATAAAAATAAAAGTTACAATTTATTGTGAGAAAACTGAAACCAATTTTGAATATTAATTTAAGTGTCCCTCAAATATATGTGCAACACACACACAAGAAAACATACTTTAAGGCTTCAAGTCAGCACGTCTTAAATTAGTTAGGATGTAGATGAGTGGACTACAACTGTGGGTGCGTACTTATGATGGCCTCTTCTTCATCCTGATTGGCTGTTAATATGGCCTCTTGGATTTGGTCCAACCACAGCACAGCAGAATCAACTCCAGAACTCTACAATCATTAAAAAAAACAAGGTCACGTCACTTCTCACAGAAAAGATCTGTGTGCCAAACTAATGTAGAGCTGCTGTAAACTAAAATCAGATCCAGTCAAAGCACTGAGCACGATTAGAAACCCCTGGAGTTTTAATAAAAAGACAAAGTAAAGTCTTCAGGTTAATGGTGGAAAATTTTGTTTCCAGCAGCAGAGCTATGCATTAAACACAGAGGTTGGTTCTGTTACAGCATCCACACATAAAAATAGAAAATATGAAATGTGGAATAAAGACATATGTCATTTTAAACCTTAAACTACTAAGATCCGAACTACTAAACAAACAATGTTTATACAGCTTGACCATTGTGCTTGTTCTCAAGCTAATTTTAGAGACCTCCGCTGTGGTCGGAGGTTCATCCGTGACCGCAGTCATCAGGAAGGAAGTCGCATAAAAACAAAAAAAACCTCGACGTCTAAAATTAGTGCCGTTTGTATCTACATTTAACAAACTCATCTTTAAAGAGAAGTATGAATTGCTAAAGAGTTAAGTTGTGAATTGTGTGTAGTTTAACTTCACTGTGAAGATTAAAGTTTCAGAAATGTATGCATCATGGGCAGCCAAGCGTGGAGGATAAACAGGAACACAAAGTGGTGTCCTGAAACAAAAACCTTCACTAAAATAAACATGTTGAAAATACCTGCATTACTTTTAGTTTAAATTCTATAAGAGGCTGAAAAACTCCACCATCAGTAACAAAGAAACGCCATCTTCAACACAAAAATCTTTCATATGGGTGCAGTGAGTTAAGAGATCCCAGCTGTTGATGAACCACTGAGCAGCCACCCTCCCACATGCCCCCAGTGAGTCAGAGGGAAGTTTCTGACGCAGACAGGAGGGAATTCAGTTTTCAGGACTGAGCAGGAAACACGCTCAGTGCTCCACACGCAGATAAGGATCCCGTTTAAACAAGAGTTTGGGTCACGGCGCACAATAATCAGCTCCGCCATTGTGTAGAGATGTACAAGGACAAGCTCCATCGATGGAAACCCGCCGCAAAGAAGCAAGACGACTGAAGAACAGAAACTTGTAAAACTAAAAGTGAAATGGCTGATCTTGTTTCAGCACTGCTCTTTTGTTTGTTGGCAATACCGACCAGTCAGCATGACGGTAAGCTTAAAAAAAATTACTGTAAGAATAACTATGTTTGATTTGTAGGAGTGGGTCTGAACAAAAAAAAAACGTTTTGCTTGAAACATCGTCATTTTGGTAAAACTTAAATAAATGTTTATTTATTTGGTCCAAGTGAAACCATTTTAACTACTAAGAATGTATAGACATAAAAGTTCTGTATTTAAAAAAGATTAGACAAGCTGATGGAAAAAATGAAGTAAATTTTCAGTTTTGTAGCTTCAAATGTACTTTAAGTTTAACAGTATGTTCTTTTTTTAAAAACAGGACATAGAACTAGAAGTGGAAATGATACAGCATTACCAAAAACTTTTAGGGGATCAGTCTATAAAGTGAATCACACAACGCAGCTCCCAGACCAGCTCCACCCTGACGCAGCCCCTCAACTTTATGTGGACCTTGACGGCCCGGTGACAGCCTACACCAAGGGGGTCCTCAGCACCTGGGTCATACCTTCAGCGTACATCCTGGCTATGCTCGTTGGTATCCCTTCCAACGCCTACATTCTGGCCTTCCTCCGAGTCAAACTCAGATCCAAGTCTTTGTCCTCAGTAGTTCTTTGCCTGAACCTGGCCTTCTCAGACTTGCTGCTCTTGCTCTCTCTTGCACTGCGTGTTCACTATCACCTCAACGCAAACAACTGGATATTTGGTGAAATCTCCTGCCGGGTTATCACAGCTCTGTTTTACGGAAATGTTTACTGTTCTGCTCAGACTATAGCGTGCATCAGTTTGAAGCGCTACCTGGCTGTGGTCAAACCGTTTTTGTACAGAAGGATGGCTAAAACTACGCTGGCGGTGGGGACGTGTTTGGTGGTCTGGTTTCTGTTTGGAGTTGCCGCTGTTCCCGAGTTGCTCGTCAGACAGAGCTATTATATCACACAGCTGAAGAAAACAATGTGTCATGATGTACTTCCCCTGGAAGAAAACTCCCATTCCCTGCTGGTGCCTTACAGGCTGATGCTGTTTTTTCTGGGCTTCCTACTACCCTTCAGCATTTGCATGTTTGCCCACACAGCCGTGGTTTACCACCTAAGACAAAGCGCTTCTGACTGGAGACCTTACATCAGGGCGAGCACTCTGGTTTTCATCATCTTCATGGTGTGTTTCTTGCCCAGTGGCATCCTGCATATAGCTCACTACATCCACCTGTTTTCCAGTGGGGACGACAGACTGTATGTATACTATAGGTTGGCGGTGTGTCTCTGTTGTTTTCACAGTTGTCTGGATCCCTTCCTGAGCATGCTCCTTTCCAAGACGGCAGACTCCGAGCTACAATTCATCGGCCTTCACAGGTCACCTCAGAGATCAACAGTGACTTAAGACTTAATGTTCACTACACACAAAACTATTGTTGGAACTCAATGGAGAAACATATGACTGGATGCAGAATTTACCAACAGAGCAACCTGTGTTAGTTCCAATACAAAACTAACGAAATGTGAAAAAATGCTAATTGTAAAATCAATACCAATTGGTTCTGCACAGCCAGCAAATTCAAAGAGAGTTAAAAAGGAAATAAAAGCATTTCTAGTTTCCAACTGTTAAAATGTGTTTTTGTATAAAGTGTAATTAAATAACGCAGATTTACTTATCAAATGTAATAATGATCATAATAGGGATGATGTTGTTTATCACTAATAAAACTCACAACATTTGGAAATAAATATGGAGTACGATAATGAATTGATAGCCTTTAAGAACACAAAAGACATTTTTCTGCAAATGTCCAAAGCATATTACATAAATTTACCATCTCACTACCTGACAGAGAAGCTGTTTGGTATGCTGCAGGACATCATAGTAGTGTTTGGCAGTGGCTGAGTTTACTCCCGTTAGCTTGGCTGTAGGTAGGAGAAGAGCCGCAAGGGTCTGCTGATGATCACCTGAATTAAGTGCCTCATTAATCCCAGCTATAGCTATGACACCTGAAATTGAAGGGCAGAAAGTATTGTTAGTTAAACAAATTAGACCCGTTTTTGTATATTTATTAGGTTTAAATCCTTATTTATGTGGTATTTTACAGAGAGGCGGTAAATTTGGGAATTGAAGGCTTGGAAACGTTTGCTAATAATAATTTATTTGTTGCACAGGATAAAGCATGTTTCAGTCAAAAATTTGTAAAAGTCCTTACGTTCGTGCTCTTCGTGGACCTGGATATTGACTCCATCGATGCATTTCTGAAGATCGTTCCAAGTGAGAAACTCTTGGCCTTTGGCGAGCGTCTCCGCTCGCTCTTCGATGAGCACGTCAGCATATCTGGAAAAAGAATTATCGAACAAATCCAAATATTTTACTAAAAGCATACTGTAGAATGTATCAAGCAAAAACAAAACAGGAAAAAAATGAATAAAATCAGACAAATAAGATATCAGCTCAAAAAGGAGAAAAAAAATATGCTTAAAATAGGACCATGCTACCCAGAGTTACATTCACTACACACTTGATAATCCTGGATAATTAAAAATAAATACTATTAACACCATTTCCTTTTCGGCTGTCCATCTGTTCTGCAGCCACTTCACCTGTTGAGGTTGTCATGGTCTATGTTGGTAAAACCCAGAGGGGAGTCAGTTAGCTGCTCACTGACAGCCTGCGGGTCTTTCGTGTCCAGCACCTCGTTCAGCACTGCTACAGCTGACAGCATCTCCACAGCTACACTAAGTTCCTCATGACTCAGTCCAGACTAGTAAACGTAAAGAAAAATCATTCAAATGCAGTTTATAGTGATTACATGATAATGATGACATGGCTGTAAACATGTTCATGCCCACAAGGCTAAAGTTTGAATGTCTCACTCGCGCTCCTTGGAGCTGCAAACTGAAAAGTTCATGCTGGTAAAGGTTGGCAGCAGTTTGGTAAACAATTGGCAGCTGTGCCTCAGGCTTGACCAGCTCCTCCACGGTCTCCGCAGCATTGCCAAGACGAATGGCTGTATTGATCCGTGCGACTGCTTCAAGTTCTGTTGAGTCAATTAATCATTTTAAAGTCAGATTTTTCACAACTACTAAACCTAAGCTTACAGTATATTCATTTGTTGTAATGAATCATACAAAAGACTCGTAGAAATGCCTTGAGAAACTATACACCAAATACTTATTAGAAACTGTACTTGGCAAGTTTTCTGTATACATCAAGCATACATGTTCGTTCAGTTTATGCTTACTTTGTTTTTCTGCCTCAGCAAAGTCGTTACAAGAGCGGACAATTCTTTGAATCTCCTGTTTGTCCAGCAGCACTGTCCTCCCTCCATCCTGAGGGACAAAAATTATAGAACAGTGAACTACCAAAAACACTACAGTTTTAATTAGCATGCTTCAGTATAAGAATTATGTTTATTTCAACAAAGGTGGTAATTCTTTGGTGTTTATTTTCAATTTATCCACAGATGCAATTTACCAGGTTGTGTTTATGAACAGTTTTCAGTGTGAGCAGTGAAAAAAAAACAAAAAAAACTACAGATTTACAAAACTGCTAAAACTCCGCAACACAATCCTAAAGAAAATTTGTTACATGAATCAAATTATAAATTATACTCCGTTTACGATGGGAGTCTAACATGTTTTTTTAAAACACTGTTAAGTATCTTTTATATGTGCTTTATATTTGTACCAGAGGTGGGCAACATTTTTCACCCCAGAGGATCAATCCATGACACTTGCAGCAATTGAAGGGCAGTACAGAGAATTGGAAAATATAAATATTAGGACAGATAATCTAGAAGACTTTCAGGCTTCTTCTTGTTGTAGCATCGTTATTTAAAAAAAAGTCTCAGAGTCAGAGTCAGAGTCAGAGTTTCTTTATTGTCATTCACACCTCATGTGGTACATGTGGTGGAGCGAAATTATGTACACAGGGTCCCAGTTACATCCAACAATAAAATGTATAAGAAAAACAGTAATAACATCTAAGATATGAACTAAGAAAAACATCAACTAAATATACACTAAGCACTCATAACATAAAACATTGAACATCAGCACAAACATGAACATGAGTCTGTGAGCAGATGTGCACGCATGAACACATAAACATTGAAACAGATCAGCAGCAACATGAAACAGATCAGCAGCAACATGATATGGTTTTTCACAGTGATTATTCTAGTTAGAGATTCATGAGTCTAACAGCCTCAGGGTAGAAGCTGTTCCTCAGTCTAGTGGTTCTACACTTAATGCTCCTTAACCTCCTTCCTGAGGGGAGTGGGGCAAAAAGTGTGTGTGCTGGGTGGGTGGGGTCCTTCATGATGCAGGTGGCCCTCTTCCTGCATCTGGAGGTGTAGATGTCTGTGATGGTGGGGAGACTGATTCCGACAGATTTCTGTGCAGCCTTCACCACTCTCTGCAAAGCTTTTCTTTCTGCAGCTGTGCAGCCTCCATGCCACACATTGATGCTCGAGCATAGGATGCTCTCCACTGCACACCTGTAGAAGGAGGTGAGGACTGAGCTTCCCAGACCAGCTCGCCTCAGCCGTCTGAGGAAGTAGAGTCTCTGATGAGCTTTCTTGATCAGGCTGGTGGTGTTGTTGCTCCAGCTGAGGTTGTCATTCATGTGTACACCCAAGTACTTGTAGCTGGAGACCACTTCCACCACAGATCCTCTTATGTTCAGGGGGGTGTAGGTGTTTTTGTTCCTTCTGAAGTCCACAATCATCTCCTTTGTCTTCTTCACATTGATGTGAAGGTTATTCTCTCTGCACCAGCTCTCCAGGTGTTCCACCTCCTGCCTGTAGCTGGACTCATCATTGTTTGTGATGCATCCCACCACCGCTGTATCATCTGCAAACTTTACAATGTGACAGCCTGGATGGGTAGCTGCACAATCATATGTGAGCAGAGTAAACAGGAGGGGGCTCAACACACATCCCTGAGGAGAGCCAGTGCTGAGGGTTATGGTGGAGGAGGAGAGGTTGTGGATCCTCACTAACTGTGGTCTGTTTGTTAAAAAGTCTAGTACCCAGTTGCAGATGGAGGGGCTTAGTCCTAGTGTGGATAGTTTGTCCATCAGGGTTTGGGGGATCATGGTGTTGAAGGCGGATGTGAAGTCCACAAAGAGCATACGGACGTAAGAGTTTTTCTGCTCCAGGTGGTTGAGTGCAGTGTGGACCACAGAGGAGATTGCATCCTCTGTTGATCGGTTCTCACGGTATGCGTACTGATGAGGGTCCTCATTACTATTTAGGAAAACAAGACATTCTGTAAAATGGCTCTTGTGACAATATAGTTGTTAGCTTAAATATGCACAAAAAACAAAACATGTTTGATTTTTGGAGTCTTCAAGGTTCAATCTAGTTCTGAAAACAAAACTTAAAAAATAAGTTTTAGCCCATCTTTATTCAAAGGTTTTTGATTTATTTGTCCAAGATGTTTAATTTAGACTTCCTTAGTGTTTAAAGATAAAATGCAGGTTTTCATTAACCTTTTCCAAAGTCGTTTTCTTTTCAATTAAGGATATTGGGGGCCAGACGGAACACGTTAAAGAGCCACTTTTGGCCCTCAGGTCATATGTTGCCCGCTTCTGTTAACGTCACTATATTCAAAGTGATCAACTTTACGTTCACTGGACAACTTTGACCCATCACCTCTGTGGGGAGATCTTTGGTGTCGGGCACCAGCATGCTGGCAGTCTTTGGGTTCTGATCATAGAAATGTAAAGTTTGTGTGGTGCAAGCTCAGTTTACTCAGCCTTTGTCATTTTTGGATGAATAAAGTCTGGCAGCCATGTCAAGGTGTTGGTGTTTTTCATGTTGCTCCTGGTCATGTTTGGTCTGTACTGTAGGAGCAAAACTTCAGGAGCTCACACTGTAACTCCACATCATTGTCAAAGGGCAGAGCTATTCAACTGGTGGCCCGGGGGCCAAATCAGGCCCACTGGTGAGCTCAGTTCAGCCCACCAGTGGTTCTTTTTTTTAGATAAGACTCCATTTTAAACCGTAAAACAAACTTACTTAGTGACAATAACAGCTGGATGTCTGGCCCCAGAGCTCTTGGCTTTCAGTAACTGTGGCCCCCTGAGCAATTTAGTTGAATAGCCCTGGTTTAGGGAGTTTATATAGACTGCAAGTCTAAAGTACTTTTAATGTGGACGTCAACTCTTCCCAACAGAACTTTGGACTCTTTGGCTTTAATGTTGTTGCTGACCAGGGGTCGACAGTTTGTGCTGATGTTCAATGTTTTATGTTATGAGTGCTTAGTGTATATTTAGTTGATGTTTTTCTTAGTTCATATCTTAGATGTTATTACTGTTTTTCTTAGACATTTTATTGTTGGATGTAACTGGGACCCCGTGTACATAATTTCGCTCCACCACATGTACCACACGAGGTGCGAATGACAATAAAGAAACTCTGACTCTGACAGAAGGGCTTTCCGTTTGTCCGAGCCTATTTTTGTCTCAGACAACCAGATCTTGCCTTGAGGTTGTCTGGTGGGGAAAAAAGTGAAACAGACATGAATTAAAGTTCGTCATCGCCGCAACAGATTTCCTGTAAAAATGAAAAGGGGGGTGGGGGCTGTTTTCAACCACGCCGATTTGAGCGGGACAGTTCTGGATTTTGCCTCCCCTGTCCCACATCCCACATGAGGAGGTGTTAACCCAGATGTCCTGCCTTTGACAAGAGCAGGCTGGGCTCACCTGCTCATTCCCAGTCTGTGTGGGAGGAGGGATACAGAGGGCTGTTTCATGGACTTCCTGCAACAGCAGGAGTGAGGTTGCCATAATAAATCTGCATTGGCTGCTTTCAGGAACTGTTAGAATTTTTCTGATAACACAAGCTATCGCAAAGTTACGCTAATGCAAAATGAGATTTTTTTTTTTTTAAAAAGGGTAATCGGCAACATGGAATAAAACTCTTGAATAAAAGATAAAACATTTTGTTGTTAAAATTCAGGTTAGTTTATTCATTAATTCAACCTTCAACTATAATTTATTAGGTTGAAAATATTTGCTCATTAGATTAAATATTGCTGGGGGGATTGTTTGTGGAGGTGTGTGTGCGTTTGTATTGGTGTGTCGTTTAAATGTCTCAAGGTTTACAGTAAAAGTAACTCATCTAATCTTTAATTGCTGTGGACACCATTACTGGACAAATGGTGGACTCATGATTTGTAGACAAAGATATGGTTAGTAGGGAAGCTTGTCTTTTCTATTTGTTTGTGTACTTGTTCTTGGTGGGCTTCTCAAGACAGTCTGCTTTGTTACATTATATGGTGCAGAGGATATTTTGTGATCAAACAAAAAAAAAAAAAAAAAAAGAACAATTAATGTATTCTGAGCGTCGTGCAAGTTGCACACGTGACCAAACTCCATCAAAGAAGACAGCACCTCTGTTTGAGCGTGCTCAGCCCATTTGTGCCTCTCAGTGTGAGGCAGGCGGCGTCTGCTGCTTTAATATTATAATTAAACTATAAACACAAAAAAGATAAATATTTATGACCCAGATTATAGCAAAGACATGTGTCTCCGTTTAACTTCAATTTTTCCCCATGAAGTTGTCTCTGTCAGAGTCAGTTTCAGGTGTTTGTAGTTTATCATGAGTATCAGTAAAATTAGGCGGGGGTCTTTGGGTAACCTATAGGTGTAGAACGTTTTCAGTCAAAAGATTTGTTTCTGCTTTAAATATGCTGCAAGTGCCTCTCCTGGAAAGTCTGATGACATTTTTATGTAGTAAACTTTGTCTATGGTGCAATATATTTATTAAATTGAATTTTCTTGAGATTTTTTTTTGCCTTATTTCTTGTAAAGATTGCATACAACCAAAAATTTTTGCAGACAACCCAGTTTCTGTCAAGAGTTTGTCCGCTGGACAACCTGACATATGTCCTTCTGTCTACCCCTGCCGACTGTTCCAAAACGCCAACTATGATCCTTCTCAGGAAATAAGAAAAAATGAAGTAACAAATGCATAACTACAAGATTTAAAACAAAAGTATCCACTTTCTGGAACCTCAAACTATCAAGTTAGTCATCTCCATCTGATTATACCTTGGATTTTTGCTGGCTGTAGTTTGTAAAATGTTCCAGGTACCAGTGAGAGTTCGTCTCTTGGACACCCAACAAGGTCAGAGTTTCAAGTCTTAGAGCAACCAACAGAGCAGCTTCATCTTGGTTCAGCACAGCGTGATTCACTTGCTCCACCGCTGCTTGGGCTGGAGACAAGACAAAGCCAAACAGCACACGATCATACATCAGCCATGCTTTTACTCAGATAAAAACTGAAACAAATATAATCCTAGTTCATTTGTTTCACCAAACAGACTTTAGTCAACGCCTTGTTGGGAAATCGTGTCTCATGTGTGCACATCCTTACTGTTGACAAGGTCAACGCTGCTCTGGATTTCCTGTTGCGTCAGTAGCTCTTCATAAACATCCCTTTCTTCTGTAGCAACTGAGGAACGCTAAGAGATAATGACACAAATTATAATGTACATTTACAGGACATGTTTCAGAGAGCGTGCACAAACTTCACACAGGCACAGCAGCAGATTTCACAAGTCACATCTCAGTGTTATGAAAAATGAAGGCTCCTGTTTGTACAGTGTTTGTAAAGAGAATGGGAGGAGAAATGCCAGGATGTGTGGAGGTCTAAAATCTGATAAATACCGCTGACTCTGCAGTGACTGGAATGTGCTGGCAGGGATTGTGGCGTTACTACAATGCAGTCATTAAAAAAATAAAATTAAATGGACAAATTAAATTAAAAAATTGCACAACAAAACCAAAATGACGTACATTATAATGTTTTGTCATTTATGTTCAGTGATAACACTTCAGGGTAAACATCTGTGGTCGATAAACAAAAACAGGAAAAATACAGCCGTTAAGGTCCAGCTCATTAAATACTGATTCCCAACAAAGACTTGTTGTAATATACCAGTATATTACATTGTACTTATTTTTGACACAGTAACACCATTTGTAGGCACAAGTGTGTTAAGATGCATTGTGAAAGCATCCAGAAGTTGTGGCTTCTTACCCTCCCTGAGGACTGAGCCTGCTTCCGAGTCTTAGCCTGGCTCAGTGTATCCTGGTATTCCTGGGCCAGGGCTTCCTGGGGTTTCCTCAGCATTGCATTAGGGTTCTTTAGTGCAGCCATTGTCGCAGACGCCTGGCCTTTCTCAACCGCCTCATTGATGGCGATCACAGCAGCATGCACTACAAAAATAGGTTGTTTAAATAAATCACTGCTGTTTAAAAAGGCAAAAGGAAAAATAAAACTTTGTTATATTCCAAAGAATAAATTGGTCTAAAACACCAGGACTCACAAGCAGCTTCATCCACTGAGAGTTCGTTGGCCAGGATGCCTCCAATTTTACTGAAAGCTGGCATCTGAATGCCATACTTCTCCAGTTCACTCCTCATATTACTGATCTCCTCCTCTGTAGGACAGAAGTATATTAATGTCTATATAATGACACCATAAACAGTAAAACATAGTGCATGAAGTATACATTTCCTTTATCGTTTTATTGTCAAACTTTTTAAAATTCCCACTGAAAACAAATTTTCCTTCACCCAGGACTGCTTTAGGCTCTCAAAGGCAAATGTTAAGGCAGAAGACTTGATGTGCTTCCCAACAAGCAAAATGTTAACCAAATTTTAAAACATTATTATTTTATACAAGTTGGTTGTCAAATTAAAAACCACTTCTTTTAGACGTACAATGTGCTGCAGTTAAATACTGTTTTTGAGAACATGGATGAAGACCCAGATCTGTAACAAAACAGCATTAAATATTTTTACAATAACTTTTGTACCGATACTTTTCTGTACTTTAATATTTTTGTTCGTCATACTACATTGTTGAACTTATGCCCAAACTTAGAAAACACAACAGATATGAACACAGTTGGACCCCGATTATTTAAACGTTGTGATTTTTTTATGTTTTTGTATTTTGTGAGACTTCTCCAGGAAAAATAAAATGTTAAAGCTGTAATAGAAAATTGTGCAGCACAGTATTTTAGGGAAAACAAGTAAACAAAAAGATGCATTTACGCCCTATATTAACCAGCTTTTATTACAAATGTTTTAAGTTTTTACTGACTTTGGACAATCCACTTCAGTTTTTATTCTCCAATCGCACAGAAATCCTTTTAAAGTACACTGAAAATTAATTCCTCTAATTATTGTCAGTTAGTAATGATAATTAGTAATACTTTGTAGTACATTTTAAATGTAGGTGGCAAATCATATTTTCTTAGTCAAATGTTTTGTACAAAAACAGCATATTTGTATTTGTACAGTTGTTATTAGTATGCATGTGAACTTCAATTTTACGGCTTCATCATTTCTGGTGTTTAAAAATATTTTTAGTTTTATTGCAGTTCTGCAAACAAAACGGCCCTTAATGTTCATTATGCTTAAATAAATATAATCTAATCCCAACATTAAACAGACTCATGTTCATGTTTGTGCTGATATTCAATGTTTTATGTTATGAGTGCTTAGTGTATATTTAGTTGATTTCATTTAGCCTTTATTTATCCAGGTTAGTCTCATTGAGCCACGAGAACTCATTTTCAAGAGAGACCTGTTTTAGGGAGCACATGGTGGGGGTTAAGTGTGTGTGTTTCACCTACCCCACCCACAATTTTTTTTTTTTTTGATGTTGTCGGGGCCGGGGCGTGAACCGGCGATCTTCGGATCACAAGCCCACCTCTCTAACCTCTGCGCCACCACTCCCCATATTTAGTTGATGTTTTTCTTAGTTCATATCTTAGATGTTATTACTGTTTTTCTTATACATTTTATTGTCGGATGTAACTGGGACCCCGTTTACATAATTTCGCTCCACCACATGTACCGCATGAGGTGCTAATGACAATAAAGAAACTCTGACTCTGACTCTGAAACACTTTGAAGCTTAGTTTGCATCTACATTTGAATGGTCACAGAGGAAATCAGAATGGCTGAATTATACACTGCTAAAAAGTGACAAGCAGTTTAAACAACTTCTCCTTATCTGCTTGAACGCGCACACTATAATTTGTTTTTCAATTAAATCCCAGAACGAAGGAAATTATCTCTGAATAGTCTCATTATATGCACACAGGGTTGAACAGACATCTGAACATTAACAAACCCCAAGGCAACATTCGTCCCTAAAGTTAATCACAATCAATAATATCTTATTTGTTTCTTCAGTTTACCTTTTATGTAAATATGCTTTTTGTGAAATTGTATGTTCTCAACAGGAGCTGATTTCCACAACCATTACCTGTAAAGTCCACTTTCCCCAGTAGGTCCTGAATTTGTGGTGCAATACCGAGTTTATACAAGTACAGGCTGAAACAGACCATAAAGAACAAGATTCATTAAAACAAAGAAGTATTTATAAGTTAAAACCTTTACACAAATTAATTCACATACAAATGAAGCCCTGAATCATGTTTATTTTTTTCTTTCATGGTTTAAATCAGGGGTGCCCAAAGTGGGGCCCACGGGCCAAAGTTGGCCCGAGAAGCCGTTTCAGTTGGCCCACCAAGCAGTCCTCATTACTATATTAAAATTTCCTTTGAAGAATCAATGTGCTTACACTCATCGATTCCACCCTTTGACTTTATTATTCGGCCTAACTACCATAATTTAACTACACAGATTACACAGTAGATAATTTAAGTGTTTTTAAATAATTTTAATTTATACTTTTATATTTCATTTTGACAGACTTTCTACTATCCCATGGCAGTTTCTTGCCACTGAATAACATTTTCCTTTGACAGAACACACTTGGTTATAAATCATAAAGTGTTTAAAGGTAAATTATAAATATGAACTGGTTTCAGTGGTGATTTTAGTCCCTTTAAATTTAAACTCAGCACCCCTGAAAAATAAAGAAACCATCACTAGGATAGTGTAAGGAAACAGTTCTCAAACCTTAGATTCACCAAAATATTGAATAAATATGGAATAAATGAAGACGGTCTCAAACGGGCCAGTAACATCTATGATTTTTTTTTTTTTCACAAGTCCTGCCACCTGTCAATCAATCCAGTAGGCACGTCAGCAACTGACCAATCAGCAACCTTGATTTGTCCTGAAGTGAGCACCTCTTACCTGCAGAGCTGCAGCGGTGCTGCATTACAAACGTTTTGCAGTCAGAGACATTTCAATAATAACAGAGTTTACATCTTTTGTTTCATGTTAATCTACTGTAATAAACGTTTGTAAAATACACCAGAATGCAGGAAATGGCATCTACTTTAATCAAAATTCTCTGGGGGAGGACCCGCAGACCCCCCACCACCACCAACACAGCCTGTTCTGTAATGTTCTTTATACAGAATGGAAGGATAAATACCTGTAATATATAAATGGATTTATTAGTAGTATTTGCATTTCATGTATTGTTGCATTTGGCCCGCAGCCCCTTGATAGATTTTAAAATTGGCCCTCTCAGGGAAAAAGTTTGGGCACCCCTGATTTAAATGCTACCTACCCCTCCTTTATGCCACATGAGGGTAGTATTAGCTCAGATTACACAGCAGGCTACCTCACAGCGGCTCTCAGTCCTCCAAAAAGCAATGAACTCAACAGGTAGGTGGCTGGAAACTTCATTAAACTTTAATCTTGTTGCAGGTTCCTGACAAGTGGCGATGAATTATATATACTTATGGAGGACTAGCATCAACAAAGCTCCAACTACAGGAGTTGCAGCTCAGTAGCTGGTGGCTATCCTGCTCTTTGGTCATGTAGTGTGTAAGTAAACACAAGACGCACTCTGTCCTTGGGACAGGAGGGCTTCAAACAACCATTTGCTTACACAGTGAGGAATGTTTTGACACGCAGGCAGCTGACTGAGATACAGACAGTAAGCGCTGACTCAGGTTCATGAAGGGAGTTAAAAACAAGCAGCAGGGCTTACAAACAAACACGACAAACTCAGAGCAACAACCTCTCCTCAGACAATGAATGATCTTTCCTGGTGTTCAATTTTTATTTTTTACACCTTTACAGCAGCATTTAAGGCAGATGTCTAAAACATACTTCACTTCCCCAGTGACACTTCTTTAATTCAGTTCTTGACCAGTGTGTGTTGAGAAGCACCCTTTGCTTTGTGAGACTTGAACTGGGCTTGCAGGAAGGAAGTGCACGTGTGTGCATAAGCAGGGAAGGAAATCAAATCTCCCAGGACCTGACCGAAACACAACAGCAGAGAAAACAAGCCAGGCGGCTCACATAACCCACTCCCTACATCTGCATTTGGATGACTACATGCGGAAGAAACAAAAACTCACCCCAAACCTCAGTCACATCCATCTAAATTAAATAACCACTGACGTCACGTGAAGATCGATTCCTCCACACTTCAACTGCTAGAATGTCCAAAAACTGACCCCAAAAGCAACAATTTACATTTTGTAAGGAAAACTATCAAAACTCAGTACCAATAAATGTTTAAAAGTTTGACTAAATGAGCCCAGGATTCGCTCAACGTTTTTAAAGCAAGCTTAAGACAAAGTTGGAAGACTAATTTAACGTCAATATTAAAATTCAAAGATACAGCTTCATTGTATTACTAGTCACAAAAACCTACATGGTGTACAAGGTAGTATCCATTTCCCATAAATCATAAAAAGGTCTGTTTGACAAGTACTTTCATTACCTTACCAGAGCAGAAATACCTTTTATTCAATTTTTGTTTCATTTCACTTTGTGGTGCAATTTCTACCTTTGACATGTTTTATTTTTTATATAGATTCAAGTCTAAATGGTGTGTTTGACCTCGTCTGCCATAATCACAGGGTAAAGGGAAATTAACTTAATTTAGTCAAGAGGTAAATATCAGTGCTAAAGTTTAAAACTCAATCTTCATCTTCTTTTGGCTTTTCCCTCTTCAGGGGTCTCCAGAGTGAGTCACCTCCTCCATCTCACTCTGTCCTCACTCCATCTACCTCCATGTCCTCTCTAACTTCATCCATACATCTCCTCTTTGTCTTTTTCCTGGCAGCTGCATTTCTAACATTCTTCTACCAGTATACCCACTGTCCCTCCTCTGGACATGTCCAAACCATCTCAGTCTGGCCTCTCTGACTTTATCTCCCAGTTGTTCAAGATTTACTTCAAAAATGTAACTTACGGTCTGAATCTTCTCAGTGGTTCATGATGCTGAACTTAAAATCAATAGCAATGTTTGGAAGGTTATTTTTGAAATGTGATCGGTCACAGTTACAAGATACTTAATGTAAAAGTGTCACAGTACTGCAACTATTTTAATTACTTTATCAGTAATGTAACTAATTATATTAGTTTACTTTTGATTAGATGTTTCCATTACAACTGTGACTGTAATCATTTTCAAATGCTGTAACCAGTGATAACTTTGGCAAATCACCCCACTGACTTCAGTCAACCTCCAAAACCCTACAAACAAATAAAATATCAAATAAATCAATAGCTATCATAGTTCAGCTGTCAGAAACCTTTTTTTAATGTTGTAATCATGAATATATTCGATTGTAATTATAAGTTTATTACACAATTCAATTAGTAACTAACAGATTACAGTTACTTTTATTTTGACAATAAACTAAATTTGGTGTAATTTGAAACCCCAACACTGATAGCAGTCCACTGGTTTATATTTCTATTCAACAAGTCAAATCAGGCTCAGCATTAATTTGGCTCCTTCAGGTGACATGAACATTCATCAGATCCAACAATCTTCATAATAATCGAAAAGGAATTCTGCCATCAGAAAACAAAATGCATAAAGAAAGAGAGAAATAAATCTTTGTTTCTGGAATCATTTGAGTCTTACCTCAGTGCGTGTATGCAGTAAACCACTTTGGGCATGTTTTTGCGGTCATACACGTCTGTTGTTTCTGGATAGAATATCTGAAAGAAGAGACCATAAGTATGTCATCGTTCTTTTATGAGTGACTAAACTCGTTATTTGGGGGCACAGCATTCCTCATATTCATTTCAAATTTAAGTTTGAGACGTTGACAAACCTATCAAAGAAACAGAGAAAATGCAACACGATCCCAGGCATAAACAACGCAATACAGTTTTCCATCATAACTTTCACAGAGCTGCAAAAACTACTAAATATCTAGATTACAGGTTTTATTCATTATAGGCTTCATAAAAGCATCATGTTATAGTTATCAAACTGACACGCGTTTTCTAAACTTTGGTACAACTTCACAAAGGTCATCAATATGTTACAAAAAGTGATTAACTAAATCTTGCTCAAATTAGATGTAACAAATGAGTAGTTTGTTTTAAAAGTTACTAAATTATTATTTTTAAGTTGCCTCCCAGTCAGGTTAAGTGTCAACACAACAGCTTCTGTGCTGTCAACAAAACTAAAAGAAGTTATCCTTTTCAGTGCGTGGTCATTTTCAGGACACGACTTCATGAGGTCTCTCTTGTAAATGAGTCCTCGTGGCTAAAAAAACAAAACAAGGAAGCTTCACTGGGATTCAACACAAAATATGAGCTTGTGCAAGTGTTCAAACTGTTTCAGCAGGTACAAAGTTATTTTACCCCAAGAGACTCAGTAAATGAGATTTCATTACTGGAACAACTGTTTGATGACGCACCCTGGGAATTAAGGGAAAAATATGTTTGTTTCAAATAGTGATATCTATTAACTATGAACTATTACTGAAAAATCTTTACTGATAATAATCAAAGATTATAATGAAATTTAGCTTTAAAGAAGTCTAAAAAAATACACTAGAAGAGCGTTTTTAAGTTAAAAGTGCAAAAAGATAGAAACTCAAAGTACTAAAAGTGAACAGCTTTAACAAAACCACTTATTAAAGAAGCTAAAACAAAGACTGATCTCAATTAATAGATGAAGATCATGAGTTCAGTCTGACCCTGCTGCAGAGCTGTGGAGCATTAGAGCAAGAGGAGCAGCAGGGATGTTAGTTATTGTTGCTAGTTACTAATATTTGGACGTCATAAGTCAATGCACTGAAGTAGAAAAATTTAAAAGTCTAATAAAAATGGTGGCATAAAAGAAATCAGTCTCCTATCCAACAAACAAATAAATAAAATACTCCAAGGTTAAACTTCTGGTACTCTTCTGAACTCTTACATTAATGTTAAGGGTGTTCTTGGGTTTCAAATTGGTCATGTTTGTTCTCAGTAACTCTTTGTTTTATATAAACTCATAAATGGCCTCTAAACATGAGGACTAATTTTGGGGTGCACCAACAGTAAAATAAAGTTAAATAATAATGTGTCCTGTGCAAATGAGAAAATGCCATTAAAAAAAATTGGGTATTATTTTTAATTGCATAAATATTGGTTATAAGGCAAGTTTCATTTAGCTGCTTCGTTCTTCAGGGGTCACCACAGCGAGCAAACTTGCATGAAAGATTTGGCAGTTGTTTTACGCGGGATGTCCTTCCTGACACAACCTGGGCTCAAACCCGTAACTTTAGGACTACAGGACCATGGCACTGACCACCAAGCTTCCACAACATATATGAATATTTTATAAAAGTTAAAAACTGCATCACTGGTTCAAGCTCGTTACCTTAGGGAGGCCCACTGACTCCATGGCTCTGAGCCACTGCACGGTGTTATCAGTATGTCTGAAGTGCAGCCCATTGCTCTGAAGGTGAACATGGAAGTACAGACAAAAATGTAGTTAGAAATTTACAAAAAAATGTTTAAGAAACAAAAAAAGACGAGTAGAAAACATAAAACTGGTCAGACAGCTACAAAGCTTGTATTTACTTTATTCTAGGATACAATGATCTGACAAAGATTGAGTAAAATCTGTCTAAAGTAAATAATATTCATGGTCCAGCTAAAAAATGTTTTTCTACGTTACTGTTTCAGAAAAACAGCTATATGGTATAGTATGGCCAAACGCTGGTCTGCAACGGTTCAAGTTTTCCTGTGTGAAACCAACTTTAGCTGTTAGGAAGCGCCTGAAAAAGCTGAAAACTCTGATGATGTCATCTGAACAAATCCATATCAGTGCACATAACCTCACAGAAAGCAGGATGGTTTACCTTATAACGAGCCTGATCTCGGTCATAAATCTTTTTTGCAGACACCAGTTTGGGGGCAAAGAAAGTGGCAAGTTTTCCAAGATAAACACCATTTCTAAGTCCCTCTTCCAGTTCTGTGGTGGGGGGCAAGTCCTCCTCCAAGCAGGCCTCCATCCACCTGGAAGCACAAAAGAAACAAAGATGAGGAAGGAAATTTATAGAAGTAGCCGACAATATTTGGCAACTTAACTGACAGCAGATAAAATTTGCTTCTTAGCGATTTACAAGAACATTTGAGCAAACGTGATAAAAGACATAAAACAAAAGAAGTTGATATAACAAAGATAATGTGCTTGACAGTTCATCACAGCATGCACTTTGAGAGAAATCACTGGAAGCTCTAAATTCCTGAACTTTCTTCCAACAATACTGTGGTTACTAGACTATTTATTCTGCCATCTGATATCTACTCATAACAGGGTAAATATATCCGGTGCCTGAATGCTTGCAGGTAGTCAGCATGTCACTCTTGGATTTTCCTACATCTGATGCCATTTTAAATTCAAGCAAAACTGAAAACAAGACAACACAAAAACTCAAAACAGACTAAAGATTTAGGCCCTGTTAACACAAAAACAATTTCTGGTGAAAATTGAAGGGTTTTGTTGCATTTGTACTGTTCATGTACACAAAAATAGTGGCCATTTTCTCTGACAATGGCACAATTTGAGAACGGGCTCCAAAGTGCAATGGTTCAAAAACATCCCAGTGTCCGTCGTCATGTGAACAGAAAAAAATAGATATTTTCTGTCAGGGAATCCCTGGCTCATGTGCAGTATGAAACAAAACATAACGGCTTCCTACAATCCACAGAAGAAGAAACTATCAACAATGGCGGATACCAGAGTATTGTTTGTGCTTCTGACTCTTATAAATATATAAATCTAATTTCCTCAGACTGCTTTCAGTTTGGACATCACTAGGGCTTTTGTTACGGCGATTTTCTTGTGAGAGAAACGTTAGAACGTTTATTTTTTTACGCATGCGCCCTTAGAGTTTCAAGGTTCAATGAACATAGCACCAACTAGTGGTGTGGTGAGGGAATTACACTTTTCCATGTCTACGTTGCTGCGTAAACAGAGATGGTAATGAGAACATTTTCATGTAAATGTGTTAATAGAAATGGGGAAAAAATCAGTTTTCCCCGTATCGTTGTCATGTAAACATGTAAACATGGCTTTAGTCTAATTATGTGAGATGCCCAGTACAATTAGTCTTTTTGATAAAGTCATTGAAAGTGAAAAACTCTGGTTGAACTCAGAAATCTGCTACCCAGAGTTAACAACAATATTCAACACAAGAGGTTAAGCAGGGATTTGAAAAGATCCTTCAGTGTGACAGAAACGGGCGCTGTTACAGACAACACCCACACGGAGTCCAGCGTGCTTTAGAAAGGAATCTGGCAAACCATTCACAGTCTGTGCCTTCAGCTCGTCAAGAGAACATGAAAGGTTTTAACTCATTTAAACCACTCCGCTCCAAATAACTAGTAAATGATTTGTGTGCAAGGTGAATCATTGCGGTATGAAAGCTACACACCATCTTTCTGTCCAAGAGTGACAAATCTTCTCTCCAAAAAAGTAATTTAAAAAAGGTGTTTGGGAGTCATTACCTTGTTTCTTAGTCTTAAATGGAATTCTACAGAAAAACATCATTTGAAGCCCAGTGATTCAACTTATGTTCATACCAGCAAATCCCAACTCCCTTCAGTCTTAGCAACAGCAATAAAACCTTTGCTCATGCACGCACGCAGACGACACCTTGTTTAGATTAATTAGGGCTTCATGCTCAAGGATCCAGTTCGGCAAAACCTGTGTCAGCACATTAAAGCACAGCGAGCGCAGTCAAAGACTGTAGATTATGCGCCCTGAGGAATAAAGCTTTCACACTTAAGCTTTCGTTACTTATGACAACTGGTGCAATAGATCATTCAGGATACAAAACCACCGATTGGACAGAAGGTTGTCGCTCTACTTTTGCTTCCTAAAAGTGTTCTGTGTGCTTAAAATATGCAACATTAATGCAAATGTGAAAAGTATGTCTGTACTGTGAATAACTACAACCAATCTGATTTAAGTTGGTCTGTACAGTTATAAAATGACTGCTTCCTTTATAACGAGTACAGAAAATAGGATGGTTGTGTATCATTTCACATCCCAACACGGTCATTCAGGGGTGCCCATTTGAACCTTTATGGCTGCGAAACCAGTACAAACGCACAAAAGAACCTTTGTGTCTAAAACCAATGTAGATATGCGAATTTCCCACGGAAATAAATAAAATACTAGAGATAAACTGAAAATATTAGTCAAAATATACATATTTTAAAGCATAAGAAAATATAGTTGAGGAATATGTAGCATGAGTTACAGTCTTCCTGTGAAACTTCACTTCCTGTACTTCAAACAAAGCAGGACTTGTCTCCTGAAGCAGGACAGACTTGTTCTTGTTTATATCTGTCCAAAAAAACACCTTCCTGTAATTGTCCAAGCTGTGACCCCCAGCATTAAACAAAATACAGTGTTCTGGAGAACGGTTAATCCCGCATTAACGTGTTATAAGTAAACGACTCCTCTCGTGCTTTCAGAACCAGTATTACTTTGTTTGTTTTGGAAGTTTGCGTAATGCAGCTTTGTCATGCTGGTCATGCGTTTGTGTGTGTACGCCTAGGGGGGTTGCAAGTTGAGGACCTTGCATCAAGAGGCAATCTTTGCTCACCACATGATACGCTTTTAAAAAGAGATCGCACAGATTCCACATTTAAATAAATGAACAGTCCTTGGACCTTTTTCCACATAAACCAAGCAAAAGCCTGACTTGTTTAGACTAAGTTAGGACAACATTCAGGGAACCCACGAGTAAATGAAAGTCTAGTTCGTCTTTTTAAACAGATTGGCAAATGAAGAATAGACGCCAACAAACCAGCATCCTAAAGAAAACATCTTTGTGCAGAAGAGGTCGAGCCCTTCCAGGCTAAAATCATGGTTAAAAAAAAAAAGGATGCAGGAACTAACAAGTTGCCACTTGAGTCTTGAGTTGAAGTGGCGGGTCTTGTATTCAAAAGAAGTAAATACACAACAAATTATAAAATCGCTAAAAAAAAAGTCCCTGGAGCACCAACAATGTATACACGTGTCAAAATGTGGAATATGTGGTACTTAAATGTTTCAACATGGAAAAAAATCTAAACAAGCCAAAAGGTTCCCATACTTAAAAAAAAAGGAGACTACAAAAAGAAAATCTGTTTACTTTTCTGTCTTCTCCATGATTTATGATGTGTGGTCCACGAGGGGGTGCGTCTATCAACCGACAGCATCTGTTTATAAAAGATGGAGATCTAAGGCCTTAAAACGACAGAACAACTTTCTTCAAAAATCAGATGAGCCAATTAAAATGTTAACTTTGTACGCCCCTCAGTTCATCAGCAGAATCCATGTTTGAACAAAAACTACTCAACGTGCTGCTTCCACTTTAGTCCACATTATTTTTACACCATTTAGGAAATGTTATTTACAGTTTGCTGCGCTGTCTTCCTATACAGTTATGTGGAGTTAGTTATCAAAACCTTCATCGCTTCAAGGCTGCATTACTGTAACTCCTTGTATTTAGATCATCACGCAGACTCCGAGTAAGGAATTCTGCTGCCAGATTCCTAAAATAACCTCTTTTTGTTGGATTCCCAGTAAAGAAAACTGGTATTTTTAGATTGGGCTTAAACTGATGTGAACCTACAACTTGTGAACTACAACTCCAGACCAGTTCAATCCTCTGATCAGCAACGTTTCCTTCATTGAGGACATTTAATCAGGACGTCTGTAATTTCTTCAGACCTGCAGATCAGACTTCCAACGTTGAATTTACGCTTTTCATCTCTTTTGAAATCGTGTCCAACTCTTTTCTATAAATACTTATAACATTTATTATTTTAGATTGTTTTATTAATGCAAAACTGCATTTTATTTATGTTGTCCTGTGCTTTTTGTCTGCCTTTGCCCATTTGTTGTGTTTTATGTTTAAATTGTGCTTTAACAATCAACTTAAATCTGTATTAAAGTCTCTGAAAGAATATACAAAAATATATTTAAGGCTCCTCGACTAAACCCACCAATTCAGGGTTGATCTAATGTGAAATATGGCATGCTATTAAATTATGGTTTTAAAGAATGGGCTGACGTTTAGGAAATAAAAACAATACCCTAATAATTCTGTTCTTTGTGATGTTTGTGTGAAACTTGACAAAACTGTTTCTAAAGTTGAATATCTGAGTTTTATCCATAAATGTTTTTCTTAATAGAACTCATGTTTTGGTCTGAATAAATCAAAACCTGCTTTCAGCTGCAGTTTTTCTTCCTACAGTTGTCTGTACCACTTGTACAAGAAACTTTAATGTTAGACACAACATAATCTGAACCAGCAGCCAGCGAGCTGAAGAAGTTCAACCTTGGAAAACAACGGAGCTAAAATATTAAAATTAAAAAGAAAATGTTTAAGTTGGTGCTCATTCTAGAAAAAACACCCACACTTTTCTTTTCAGAGGAACTTTGTTGTGTCCTGGACTTAGCACTGAATAAGAAGATTATGATGGGATAAAGAAAGATCAATAAGTCAGTGTTTTCCCACCGTGTCATAAACAACAATAAGTTCCAGTAAATCATTTTCCAGCTTTGACACAATCCCATTTTTCACAAGGAAGAAAAAAAAAAAACTAGTTAAAATATGTGTTTAAAAACTAGTAGAAGTTTTAAAAATATATTATGACCCCAAAAATAAATTCTCATCCCACCTAAAAAAAAAAAAAAAAAAATCCATCTGAGGGTTACAGACTGGTTATTAAGGACAAACCAACATGCTGCACAATGGGTCAAGGCATACACAGTCAGGGCACAGTTGAGTTGATTATACAAGTATCTTTTACTCTGATGGACCCAAGAGATAAAAGCACATTCCTCATTTTTATAAATCCTTCAAGTTCCTTCAATTGATTTGCAGATAAGTGTGAATGAAGGAATTTTAAGATACGTGTCCCTCAAAGGCGCTGAGCAGCAAAAGAGTGTCTAAAGGCTAAAACAGAAGATCTGCACATTTCTGTTCCAAACTACCGTCTTAGCCAGTGGTTATGGGTTTTATCTTATTACAGAACACAGCAGAGCGAACGTAATCATGTAGAATATAATTGTAGTTTACAGTGATCACGTTACATTACAGCTACAAGTTAGTAAAAGTCTCAGGAGAACTGACTGGTCAGCAAAGGTTACTGCTGCAAAATTACTTTGCCAACTATAAATCCTGTTTTATAGCACAGGCCTCTGACTTCTGAGCCATGAACCTAATCCTCTGCTCACTGAGGCTTACAGTTTTGTTAGAAGTTTATTTTAGTCCTAATACTAGAGAAATAGCATTTCCTGCGAAAATGCAGTGGAAATGCTTATTGCTGAAGAACTTGCTGAAAAACAGCTGAAATGTAGCTGAAATGGAAGAACAAGCCAAAGTTAGCAGAAAGAACACATTTGCTGAATTAGGTTAAATAAGCAAAACTGAGCACAAAAATTAGTTAACAGAAATTGCTGAAAAGTCAGAAAGAAGCTTAAACTACCAGAAGGAAGTGGAAATAGATGAAATGAGTGAAAAGAAAAAAACGGTAGAATTAGCTGAATTAGCTCAAATTAGCAGAAAACATCTATATAAGAGCTGAAATAGCAGAAAAAGCTGAAACTTGCATAACAAGCTCAAATCAGCAGGAAGAAGTTAGAAGAAGCACAAAACAGTCGTAGTTAGCAGAACAAATCTGAAAGGAACACAAAACTGCTGGAAAAACAGCTGAAATTAGCTGAAAGTAGCTGAAAAAAAGTTTACATTTGCACAAGGAAGCTGAAAGAAGCTGAACCAGAACAAAATGTAAAAGGAGCAGTAAAAGGTTGAAACAGATCTAAAGATCTGAAGGACGGAAAATGAGCTCAGTTCATTTTATATGGAGGAGAAAAAAGTGGCAGAAAAGGCTAGATATTTCAAAAAGCTAAAGCTGCACCAATACCAAAAGCCATAGCGCCCTTCTCCTGAATGAACTGAAAGTTTTCATACAAGATTTGTTGAAATAGCACAAAAATTGTGGAACGAGAGCGATGCCTAAAAACGTACAGAAGAAAATGGATCGCAATAGAGCGAATGCTTCATAAACATTCACACAATAACTCCACGCATTTAACAAAACACAGGCTCCAGTCCACAACTTACAGAAACAACGAAAAGACAGTAGACTTGAGGGGAAATAAGAGGGAGCAAAGAATGAAATGTGAGAATACAGTGAGATATTTCACCACAGATGTTTTTACTGAACAGCTTCTGCCAAGCTCAACCTTCAGCTAAAGTTCAGAAAGCACCCTATAAAACGTGTCATAATCTGGAAGTGATTGGACTGCATGTGTGAATCGGCTCAATTCGGCCCTCGTAAACCCTTACAACAAAAGCAGATAATGCTGGTCAGCTAGTCCTCACCAAGTCAGAGGTTTAAGGACAGGTAAGAGGAAAACAAAAACAAACCCAAATGTAGAGTTGATTACAGAACCACCTGGAAAAATTATTCATCCTGGGGAGGCAAAGTTGACAAGATGGGAGTGTGACAAAAAAAATCAGAGCGTTAGAAGACGCACGTTCACACTTCCTGTTCGTCCCTGTGCAGTACAGTGATACGGTGAAGAAGACAGGAAGTGGTTTAGTTGACATCGTGCTCAGATGCCTCATGAAGGCACACTAGAGCGTTGCCCTCACTAGAATTATGTAGCTGTGGTAATCTGAACTTTCAATGTGATTTTAACTGAAAGCTCACTAAGTCGTGAGGGCTACTCCTTGTGCAGCTCTGAACTAACTGGTTTGATCCTGCGTGCATTTTTGCTTACAGCTCTGTGACATTCTCAAACATTGAATGTGCTTCTAGCTTCATGCAGCTGTTTTATCACTAAGTGCTGTACTCCCTTTTATGTTTACATCCATTTCACTGTCTCTCCATATCTCAGCCACTCCCTGCAGCATTTATGAAACATAGTTAGCGTTCAAACAAACCTAAGAGCATATTTTCAACATGCTGTTTGGTGACAAAGGCATAAAAAGTGGCTCGTTTTAATTAGGGATGCACGATATTATCGGCGTGGCATTGGTATCGGCTGGTATCAGTGATAAAGTTAAATATCGGACATCGGCCATTCTATCAAAAAACTCACTGATATGAAAGGCTTCCGTTTTAAGTTCATTTTTAATGTAAGAAACTGTCAATTATATCTATTAATGCACTACTACTTATGTGCTTTTCACTTGTGAACAGGTTGAGTTTAGATTTGTGAAAATGTACATATTTGCACTGCTCGAGTGTTGTCACTGTGTTAGAGAGAGTAAATGTCATGAATAAATTTGACATTAACATAATCCAAGTTAAAGTGTTGCATCATTTTCAGCTCCTTTTTGGCATCTTCATTTGGTAGCAGGTCAAACAGACAAAGACCATGCAGAATAATGTAGTATTTTAATCCCACAGCAGAGAAAGATTCTCTGAGAGTCTCTGTAAGTAAGTCTAGGGGAAAATATATTAGTATTGGTATCGGAAATCGGCCAAATAAGTTTTAACATATCGGCCAAAAAGCCAATATCGTGCATCCCTAATTTTAATCTGTACGTATGATTAAGTGTTTTCTTTTTTTAACAGTTCTCCCTCCCCACCATCATCCCCTCACATACCGTTTGGCCTCCTCTAGGTGACAGAGGTACTCGTAGGCGATGTTCTGTCGCCTCCTCTCATCCATCTCCTCTGCGGACAGCCTCTCATCATCCTCAATGGCTGCAAAAAGCAAGCAGATTCAAACTAATTATTTTAACCAATTCTGCAAAACGTGCAGCTTTTTTCAATCGATAGACCCATAACTAAAACTAAAGAGTGATTAATTTATGCATGAAAAGGTTAGCTGGATTCTAACGTAGAACACTTAATGCACAAATATTTTTAGTCCTATAGAAAAAAAAAAAAAAAAACACTGGTGCATAACAGAATAAAGTGCAATTTAGTATTTTAAGGTTGCATTCAGATAAAAAGAAACATAATAACCAAAAGCTCCTTCAGGTGATTTTTTTTTTAACCAATTCAACATTTTAAAATCCATCCATCCATTATCTTTACCCGCTTATTCCATTTTGGGTCACGGGGGTCGCTGGTGCCCATGTCCAGCAATCACTGTGCGAGGGGCGGGGTACACCCTGGACGGGTCGCAAGTCCATCACAGGGACACATAGAGACACACGAGACAAACAACCATTCACTCTCTCACTCACACCTAGGGACAATTTAGAGTTACCAATCAGCCTAACATGCATGTTTTTGGTCTGTGGGAGGAAACCGGAGCACCCGGAGAAAACCCACGCATGCACGGAGAGAACATGCAAACTCCACCCAGAAAGGCCCCTGGACCGGGGTTTGAACCAAGGACCTGCTCACTGAGAGGCAGCAGCTCTACCAGTTGCGCCACCGTGCTGCCCACATTTTAAAATATTCATTACAACTGGATCACACAGATAAAGATGATACATCCAGAAATAGTGGATTTATTTGCATTAAGTGCTTCACTTCATGTTGAAAACAAGTACTGGTAGACGATAGGCTTCAATGATCCAAACAGGCCAAGATGTGGGGTGCCAACGTGACTTCTGCTGAGAGTTCACCTTTACCTGTAGCTTAATGAGATCCCCGTCCCGCTCAGTGCACCTCACGTCACTCTAATCCAATCAAATCTCTTTATTTCTGACTGACTTGAGGGGACATTGTGAACACTGAGGCTCAGTTAAAAAAGGGTTTGGTTCCCTGGGAGTAAAGGAGAGCAGTCAGCGAAAACAGCCGTTTTTAGGCTTCTTTCTTAAAAATAAAGCAAACCCAAGCCAAACAACAGAAGTTTTCTTTGATTACTTTTTGTTTATCCACCCTTCACAAATAAAGCAGATTCAAACATTCAAGTACCTTATGTGATTGTTTGGTTTGTTTCATGTTCTGACTATGATGTGGAGTTTGAAATGTGTCAATATGAGGAGAAAATAAACTCTTGTCGATGTGGAGTGCATGTGGCCAGCATGAAGTCCGGGGGGAACTCTTGCACTCCGTCCATTCATCCGTCACCTGCAGAAATATCCGTTCTCTGAGTCTCAGCAGAGGCTTGACATACAATACCCACATGTAACAACAGGCAGAGCCAAACACAGCTGGCTGAAATGTTTAACATGAACATGAGGTCTGGAGAACATGCAGATGAATGCTCATCTCTGAGGCTGTCCCAGCAGCTCCAGTGCAGCCATTATGAACAACCTCCACCAACTTCCTGTCACTTCCTGGAAGAGCTTGTCTGCACCCACTGTTATATTTAACTATCAGGATGGGTTTGTTGCTTTTGTGTGTCACATAATCACTGAAGTGGAATTATGGTCTCTGTGACCATGACTCGTGCTTTTGCTGCAGGGGGGGGGGGGGGGGGGGGGTTCTGCTGGACTCAAAACAGGTTTTAATTTTGGATTTACTCCTTTTGCACACACAAAAAAATCTAAAATCACACATTTCTGCAAAATAAAATAAACTAATAGTGAATGTATTTGTGGTGACACCAGCAATTTGAGCTGATCAATAAAAACAGGCCTGCTGACAAGTGATCAGTGTTACAAAACTGTACTTTGTGACTTTTCCAAACCCTTATCTGTTTGCACTGGTACATTCTCCACAGTCAGTTTTAGATTTCTGTAAAAATCCAAAGTTAATAAGTAACCTATGAGAAAAAAAAACGCCTTGTGTGTGTAGACACGAAGGCATGTTAGTTCCAGTCAAATCAACAGATAAAACCACTTCACTGTGGTGCATTCAGGGACACATTAGTCAAGACAACTAAGTTTGTATTACTTTAAAAATGCCCTGAATTTCACTCTGCATCGCGTCTTAACGCCTTTAATTTCTAATATATCATACTGATAAGAGCGTGTAAATAATGTGGAGTTGTTCAGCTGTAAAAGTGTAACCAGGTGTAGAAGAACCACCTGCTGCTCATCATCTCTGCGACGGCAGCCGGAGTTCATCCGGTGTCACACACAGTCACAAACCTTAAGTTTACGCCTAAAAGCGACACATAGAAGAATAAAAAAAAAACCCATATTACTTACTTCCATAGCGTGGCTTCTGTAACGTTAATGTTTCTTCATGGTACATCCTGCCTCGTTTCCTCCACTTGTGAACTCGTCTGAACTGGAAACAACTTCAGCCAACAAGCTAACTAACGTTCAAGCAGAGCGAACAGCGGAGAGCCGCGCCTCTCAGGATGTATATTAATATAAATATAATGTGATGCCTGCTAAAGCAAAGTGGGGGGAAACACCGGCAACAAAGCTAAACAGTTTCCAAAAGATTCATGAAAGTGCCAGCTGTGACTTGTCGCGGACACCCCCCATGGTGCGCACTTCTTCTGCACTAGTGACTCCTGACCAAAGTGCTTCTTGTTGGCGTCATCTGCACCTCTGCTAAAACAACCGGCGGAACAGCGACAGTTGGCGCTTAGCACCATCTGCTGGTCAGTAGTGGTACTGCAGGCATGGCCGTCAGAGAGAAATCAAAACCACTCTATAGTTTTGTTGTTGTTCGCTTATTGGTTTCCTTTGGAATTATTTCAGCAGCATTTTTTTTTTCCTCCAATTTTTTACTTATTTATTTGTTTGTTTAAACTTTTACATAACCAAGTTGATCTCGTTGCAATTAAAAGTCTCTTTTTTTCAAGAGACACCTGGCCAAGAATGGCAGCAGCACACAAAACAAAAAGCACCGGTATTAAAACACAATTAAAATACATAATAAAAAAATAACATAAATAAAAAGGGGGAAAAAATGAGAATAACGCTTCTATAAATCTGACAACTATCAATATAATTTAAAACATTTACGAACAGATGCCTCATTTACAAGTTTTTATTAAAGGCCTTAAAACATTAAAAAGAGATCAACTCCTTCAATTTCAAGTCTTTTTGCAGTTGATTCCAGTCTTACAAAGCAATAAACTGGACTGTTTTTTTGGGGTTTTTGCTGTAATCTGTACAACCCTATCATCTGAGCTCAGAGAATTACCTCCAGCACAGTATACGACAGGAGATAAGGGGAAAGTAAACCAAATATTGCTTTCTAAATGAAATTATGCTAATGACAGAATCTGCAGGTAGATAAGGCAGTCCATCCAATGCAGGTATGGAGACAGTGGTGGGTAAAAGCTCCAAAACCAGTGATAAAACGTAAGGCTCCATGATTTACAGAGTCCAATGCAATAAAATAAACGTATTTAAAAGGTAACAGATCATTTGAAACTTTGGTTTATTTACATAATGATTTTAATCACTGGATGTCCGGCCCCCGAGCTGTTGGCTTTCAGAAACTGCGGCCCCCTTAGCAGTTTTGTTGAATAGTCCTGGTCTAGACAAAGACAATGGCAGATATGAGACGTTATCTAACATAAACTTTTTCACCAGCTGTTGGATATGGAACCAAAGGCCAGGGAATCATCAATAATAAACTAAGTATTTATACTGTTTTGTTGTTGTTATTGTTTGTTTTTACATTTAACTTCTTCATATTTTGTTCAATTTTAGCCATTCATATAAAACAGGCATGGTGGTTCAGTTGGTAGAGCTGCGGCCTCTCAGCAAGCAGGGTTCAAATCCCAGCCTGGGAACTTGGAGTTTGCATGTTCTCTCCGTGCATGCGTGGGTTTTCTCTGGGTACTCCGGTTTCCTCCCACAGACCAAAAACATGCATGTTAGCCTGACTGGTAACTCTAAATTGTCTCTGGTGTGAGTGAGAGAGTGAATGGTTGTGTGTCTCGTTTGTCTCTATGTGTCCCTGTGATGGACTGAAGACCTGTCCAGGGTGGCCCCGCCTCTCCCACAGTGATTGCTGGACATGGGCACCGGCGACCCCCGTGACCCAAAATGGAAAAAGCGGGTAAAAGATAATGGATGGATGGATGAAAACATTCAGCTCAGTCAACAGATGGGTGCTATAAGTTTTGTTTTTTGTGATTTTTATACTGTAAACTTCAGAATATCTTTCACAAATATTTTCCTTCTGAAAATACATTAATATTTCTTAAATTCTTTCAAAAACAGTTTTTCTCTTTGAAACCTGCTTTAGCATAGTTGCTTTGTTGTGCTATTCGTAGCTTTTAGGTAGACTTTTGCTACTTTTAGCTTTTGGCTACTGTTTTCCTAATTTTGTTTAGCCCTTTGCTTCTTTTACCTTCCAGTTAGTTTTGCTACTTTTAGCTTGCATTTTGCCTATTTTGTTTTTTTATCTGTTCTGCTTCTGTTAACATAGTTATAAAAAAATATATCAACGTTATTCTCAAAATGTTGCTATTATTGTGAACTTTCTTTTAAATGTCTCCATCTGTGCCAATCACGTTTTTTTTTTTTTTTTTTCATCATCTGTTTGGTCATATCGAACTAGTTTTAAACCCAAATGTCAAACCATAATTTCATCTGCAGAGCTTCAATTTATGTCTGACTGAATGCTCCTTCAACATTTATTTCACAGATATTTCTTAATTTATATATCTTCCTTCAAATGCCTCAGAAACTGAACTGGCATAGCTATCTGCAAAATATTTAAGAATTATTATTCAAAGTATTTAATTTGCTGCTGATTTAAAATTCTGGGGAGAGTTGGTAATGCAATTATTAAACATATCATCTAAGTTAAATGTAAATTACTTGTTTGTTTGTTTGTTTAGAAATAATATGTCTAAACTATGAACTGTTTTTTTTTTTTTTCTTCAGCTCAAACTGTGCATTAGAAACAAGGATGATTGTTGCAATTTATAATTTTAGTCAGTAGATGGGAGCATTACTCAGTTTTATGAAGTAACCAAAACCTAAACGAGTTTTGCTGCAGTTCTCACCTGGCAGCTGAGCCAGCAGGTGAATCTAATACTGTATGTCTTGTACAACATTTACTGTGTGAATGTTTATGAAGCAGTCACACTAAGATCCATTTACCTTCCATACATTTTTTTTTTTTTTTGCATCTTTCTCGTTCCACCGTTTTTGTGCTATTTCAACAAATCATATATGAAAACCTGTCCTCAAATTGAAGAAGTCCTTTGGCTGAAGGACGAAACATCTCAACAAAAAAAAGAAACCTTACAGATGGTCTGACTGAACATTGTTGGACTTTTACCTGGATTACTGAGCATGAACTTTGGTGCATATAAACATTCATCTCTTTCAGAACAATCCTGCTATGACTTTTGGTATTGGTGCAGCTTTAGATTTTTGAAATATTTAGCCTTTTCAGACATTTTTTTTTCATAGAAGGTAAATTGAGCTAATTTTACATTCTTCAAATCTTTAGATCTGTTTACAATCTTTTACTGCAGCACTTTGGTTGGCCTTGTTGCTGTTTTAAGTGCTTTATAAATAAAGTGGTATGGTATGGTACTGCTCTTTTCACAATTTGTTCTGGATCAGATTCTTTCAGCTTCTTTGTGTCAATTCAAACATTTTTCAGCTACTTTCAGCTGTTTTTATTTTAGTTGTTTTGTGTTCATTTCAGGTTCTTTCTGCAAACTTTTTGTGCTCCTTCTAAATTATTTTTGCTAATTTCAGCTTGTTATGCATCTTTCTGTTTATTTATGCAAGTTTCAGCCTTTTCTGCTATTTCTGCTAGATGTTTTTAATGCCTTTTTTAAAGCCTTTTCCATAGCCATTTCTGCTATTTTCAGATAATTTACACTTTTGTGTTAATTTCTGCAACTTTTAGCATATTTGGGCAAAATTGTGCTCTCTCTACTTACGTCTGCTAATTTAAGCTTGTTCTACATTTTCAGCTATTTTTTTTTAAGGATTTTTTAGCTAAATTCAGCTGTGTTCAGATAAATTCTGATTTTTCATGCTAATTGTGGCTATTTTCAGCCTAAATAACTTCTTTCTGCTTGTTATACTCCTTTCAACTTATTTCTGGTCGTTTCAGCTTTTTCTGCTATTTCATCTACTATTTAGCTGTTTTGTGCTAAATTTAGCTTTTTCACCTTATTCCACATTTTTTAACTCATTTCAGCTCCTTCCACGTCCTTCTGGTAGTTTAAGCTTCTTTCTGCCTTTTCATCTACTTTCATCTACTTTTTAGCTAATTTAAGCCCCCTTTTTTAGCTAATTTAACCATTTTTTTTAGCTAATTTCCTAACGTTTTGCTCATTTATGCTTATTTAAACACAATTCAACAAATATGTATTTTTCTGCTTTTTTCTGCTTACTTCAGCTTGTTCTTCCATTTAAGATACAATGCAGCATGTTTTTTTTTAGCTAATTTCAGCTGTTCTTCAGCAAGCTCTTCAGCAAGCTCTTCAGCAATAAGCATTCACCATGCATGTTTGCAGGAAATGCAGTAGTTACATTTGATCTAATAGCTTTAACAAACCTTAAGAATATAAATGTTAAATTTTCCTACAAACAGCTTAAAAGCTACAATTTGCATTTATTTCATTTATTCAGATTAGTTAAACAAACTAATAATCAATTTGTTTACTCCACATGTAATTAGCAGATTAGCAGCTAAATGTGATTTAAATGTTTCTTTGCTTCAAATATGTGTGAAACTTCTAGAAGTAGGTTCAGTTTTGTAGTTTTTCGTTTAAACATGCTTCTTTTATTTAAAAAGTCACTAAAAAAGTTAAAGTTATGGGAAATAAAAGCCCAGAATAATTTGTCAGAGAACATAATTTTTATTGTACTGCATATGTTGAAAAGCAGATCAGTCTGCAGTTTCTGTATCTCTGATGTCGTCACACACAGGGCGTCAATTGGCAAATATTTCTTCACACATTGTTACACGTTTGGACTTCTGAAAACACACGTCAGTCCTCCTTTGACTGGCAGGCCCTTTCACAATAAGATTCACAAACTTTATCATTCACAAACACATCCAGGAAGAGGATCAACAAAACCCACGAGTGTGATACATTCACATTTTCCCTCCACAAAAACCTAAATATCACCAAAACTTTCTGCAGAATAAAATACAGGGAGAACACAAAGTTAAGCACATAAATAATTAACGTTTTCTGACACACATGCATGCAAGGCTGTGCACGCACACACACAACAGCAGCAGGTGAAAGCAAGGGACGCACACAAGGATGCACAGCAGAGACACATTTCAGATCAAATGACCACTCAGTTCAAGAGACGTGGAATCAGCTTGTTCACATTTAACCAAAAAAAATATTATATTAGCATCAATATTTACACAATATTTACACATGTGTGTCCAGACTCATACAATTCTCTCCAAATGCCTGTTTTGCATAAACACAGACACACAAAAATACAGTACATGTACAGGAAACACCTCAAACATAACACCTAATATTATTTGACACAACCCGTCAGCCTCAACTGTTTCTGGGTTTTTTTACCAACCCAGAACCGAGCAGACCTCTCGTGTTCGTGCTACAGACAGAGGAGTCAGCAGTGCTGGGCGGCGAGCGATTGCATTTTATTTAGAATCTGTACGCAACATTGATTCAAAAATATTAAATCAAAGAGTCAAAAACATCTGCTGAGGAATAGCACCACACACATCACAGCTTTTTTTTTATTTAATTTTTTCAAACTGATTGCACAAATTTCAGGAAAAGCTTATGGTCGTGGAGATGAATGTGCACGTCTAATGCAGTTTTGTTGTTGTTGTTTGTTCTTTTGTTCTGAGCGGAGTAAACCAGACACAGTTTAGTTTAGAGTAAAGCTCAAATCACTGACGCCGCACAAAGGACTGCTGAAAATACAGTTTAATACAGAAGCAAAAAAAGTCTGTGGGCAGAAATCAAACCAGACTGAGAGATGATGAATCATCACTTTTTACCATATCACCATTACCATATTTTACCATGTACCATATTTTTTTGGACTATAAGGCACTTAGAGTACTTTAATTTTCTCAAAAATCAACAGTGAGCCTTATAATCCCGTGCGCCTTATAGTCCGAAAAACACATTAGTCTAAAAATCAATCAAATTTGATTTTTAAAGACATTACAGCAACGTGTAAGGAGCAACACAATCTGTTTATGATTTAGTATAATTATTTCACTTCTGTTTTATATTTAAAATTGAGCAATGTTTAAATGAAAAACTAAAACAAATTGACTCTAAAAGTAATAAATTATGGCAAAATATTAGCTAAAATAATTTGACCTTACAACTCTAAAAGTCACGCCTGATCAGTGGTCACCAAATGGTGGCCCACGGGCCAGATGTGGCTCAGAGAGGGTTTAATTCCAGCCCATGGCGTGTGAAGAAGAGGAAGTAGTAGCAGGTTGTGTTCATGTCCAGTAAAAGCTCTGACGATGTGATTTTGTTTTTTCCCTGGCTGTGAACAAAAAAATTTATTTTCCAGTTTTCTTGAAATGATATTGAAACATATCCTCAGCCATAAGTCAGAATGCTACTGTGCAACTATGTCCGACAAACTACAGACCAGGATTTCTCCAAAAATTACCACTAGATTTTAAAATAATTTAACATTAAATATAATTAACATGAATAGATTGCATTAAATATAACATTCCACTAACGAAGCCAATTAAGCTTAATTAATCAATTCATGAATGTATTTGTTTAAGTTTGTGTTTTAGTTAACATCAAAGGCTAACTTATGGCAAAAACTTTGTGTCCTAAGCTAATTTTATTGGTCAACCTTGATCTATATGCCAGGATAAAATGGTTCAATCAATCAATAAATAGTATTTTAACAGAAGAAAGCTCACCTACAAAATTCATTAATATGGTAAATATGGGGAAAAAACACACAAAAATAATAAAACCACAAGCTATGAGCAACACGTTTCATAGTAACTACAAAAAATCCTAATTCAGTCAATACTTTTTGTTATGTTAGTATTTTTTAAATTACTGTCTGTTCCTTATAACCTTTAGACAGCATGGGACTATTGGACAGACGTGCTCCAGTCAAGGAGAGGCACATTAAGAAAGGCCATTCAATAATTTTTTTTTTAAAGGAAGCAGGAAGAGCCATCCTGCTACAAGCAGTTTTCTACACAGAGCTGAAGGAGGAGAGCTCATCACGGACACTTTTGACACCGAAGAAGAAGAAAAAAATATCTATATGTAGATGAATACACAACTTTTCTCTCAGTCTGTCATTCCAGAAAATAAGGATCCTCAGATTCAACATCACACAGTTAATGGTACAAGAAATACATCTTTTTTTAATAATATGGCCTTTTCTGTTCAAGTTTGGATGGGTAATCCAAAGGGCTTGGTCTCATATAAATGATCTACTTTGAAAGGTTACATACAGTATGTCTGAGTAAATGTCATGTAACAAACTACAGTACTGTGGAAGTGCAGGGTTAGAAAACGCGCAGTTGTACCCAGTACTTTAATTTTAGCTGTTTGTTTCTGTGTGGTGACTTTCTGCATGAACGTCCTGTGCTCTGTCTGGGGTTCTCGGGGGTAAACCAGCTGTCAGTGAGCCGGCTCTGTCTGATCATGTATTCCCTGGGTTGTCACACAGCAGGTTGGTTGTGCTCATTACTGCTTGTTTTTCCACTTTACTTCCCATCTGGCTCATCTTAATAAGACTGTATCAATATTAAAAGCCTTCACCGCGTTGAGACATCATGTAAGGTTATGATTGTAGCTGGAGGGGTGCAACCAGTCAAATACTGTCGTTTCGGGCAAATATCCACTTGTGTCATGTAAAATGTTTAGACAGCTTTTAAGCATAATATTGTAGTTTTTTGTGTGATTAAAGCCAAATCTATTAATAAAACATGGCTGCAACGAGTTTTCCATGAAGGTGATTATTGGTGTTATTTGAATGAACCAAGCCATTTGCACTCCTAATCCTTACGCCCCCCATACTGTACAAAAGAACAAGCCATTTGTACACTGGAGTTTCTGTGATCGTCATGGCGTGTTGTTACATTAGGACGTTGGTCCGGGTGTCAGGTAACCGCAGTCCGACCAGGCCGCCTCCGACGAGCATTGATGAGGCCATGAGGATAGGGACGGCCTTAGTGATGCCAACAAGAGAACCAAAGATCAGGTTCCCCATGACTGCAGCCAGCTTACACAAAGCATTGCAGAACCCAAAGCCTGTCCCCCTGGAGGGATACACACCAGGAGAAACAAAAAGAGATGACAATGTAAACAAAATCGGATTTTTTTTTTTTTTTTTTAAGACCTACACGTCATCTGTTGCTTTTTATATGGTGGCCCTGAAGTTTAAAACGCAACTACAAAAAAAATTTAAAAACACAACATTTGAAAAACACAATTGCATATGAAGAATTACCTGGACTCAATTAATATCTTACCTCGCCTTCAATCTGGATTCAGGAAACAACACAGCGCAACGACTGCTTCACTGAAGGTTCTTAATGACGTTGTTGAAGCACTGGATGCTAAGGATTATTGTGCTGCACTTTTCTTAGACCTGTCTAAAGCTTTTGACACTGTGGATCATAACATCTTGTGTCATAAGCTCTCAGAAATCAGTTTCTCAGAACACACCATTGGTTGGTTCTCTAACTATCTCTCAGACCGGAGGCAATGTGTTCAACATAATGGTACTTCCTCCAGTTATTTAACAGTCAACAATGGTGTACCACAAGGCTCAGTCTTAGGACCCACCCTCTTCACAATCTACATATGTAATGTAGGTAAAAACATCCCTGATGCATCCATACATTTCTACGCTGAAGACACAGTTGTTTATTGTCGAGATAAAACTGTTTATAAGGCTTTCCAGCTTTTGAAATCTGCATTTGACATCATCCAGACAGATTTGTTCCACCTCAAACTTGTCCTCAATGCTGACAAAACCAAAGGGATGCTTTTTTCAAATAGGAAGTTGGTCCAAGCAGTTCTTCCTCTGATCTCACCCTCAAATGGTATCCCCATTGAGTTTGTTGATTCCTATAAATATTTGGGTATCTTGGTCTACTCGCATCTCTCTTTTAAGCTCCATGTGGAAAACTTGGTAAAGAAACTGAAAGTTAAACTGGGTTTCTTTTTCAGAAGCAGATCCTGTCTAACTCTGAATGCTAGAAAACGCCTTGTATCTGTGACTTTCCTTCCCTCCATTGATTAGGTGACATTATTTACATGAACGCTCCTACAAGCACCCTGCAGATGTTGGATGCTGTCTATCATGGTGCACTAAGATTCATAACTGGCTGTGATTATCGTACCCACCACTGCACCCTGTATTCATTGGTTAAATGGACATCATTAACTTCACGCAGACTCTCTCACTGGTACATTTTCATCTTTAAATCACTTCTTGGTCTGCTGCCTTCATACATCTCCTCCTACATGTCTCTGCGTGAGTGCAGCTACAGCGTGCACTCTCAGGACATTATTACCTGCAGTGTTCCCTCAGTGCGGACTGAACTAGGCAAAAGGGCCTTCTCCTACTCTGCTCCTGTTTCCTGGAATATCTTACAAAAAGATCTGAAGCTCTCGACCTTGACCTCTCTAAGTGGCTTTAAGAATCTGTTGGACTCCTGGCAAGGACCAATGCAGACATGTTCCTGTTTTTAGTTTTCTACATTTGCCTTAGAATCTGTTTTTTTGTTACTGTTCTTTTTTTTTGCCATCCTATTTGTTTAAAAAAAAAAAAATCTGTATGACTTTTTATAACTGTTTATTGTTGTCGCTGTTGTCCATTGTTGTCATCATTCTTTGTTGAAATCAGGTCTCTTGAAAATGAATCATCGAGGCTCAATGGGATTTACCTGTCTAAATAAAGGTTGAATGAAAAAAAAAAAAAGAAACACAATTACATTAAGCGAAACCGGAATAGGTGGGAAAGGTGGGAGGTGGGACCAGTGGGAAACGTGAGACATCACTGATAAGACGACAGAGCATTTGAAATTCCCTCCTTTTCCACCTCTTCTGGTTTTGCTTGATGTAATTGTGTTTTTTCAAATTTTGTCTTTCTTCAAATGTGTTTTTTCAAATGCTGTTGTGTTTTTTCAAATGTGTTTCTTCAAATGTAGTTGTGTGTTTTCAAATGTTGTGTTTTATTAATGTATTTCTTCAAATGTGTTTTTACAAATGTTGTGTTTTTTCAAATGTAGTTGTTTTTTTTGTTTGTTTTTTTCAAATGTATTTCTTCAAATGTAGTTTTTTCAAATGTAGATGTGTTTTTTCAAAAGTTGTGTTTTCAAATTCAAGTATTTTTATTATCATTGGCGCCACATGTGGTACATGAGGTGGAATACAACTGTGTACTCAAGGGCCCACTTACACCCAAAAATAGCAAAAATATAAAGTATAAAAAGAAACAATATAAGGCTCTATGAATTGTAACCCTGTCGCCAACTGGCTCATTATATCATGAGGATAACTATTCTATATATGTCTCAATTAAATTCCAATTGCCTTATGGTGAAATAGACACCAATGTATATTAACTGTGTGTAAAAGGATAACTATGATTCTCAAGAAGTTTTCCCAACAAAAAAACAATATGTGACTTGTAAATTATTTTTTACAGTGTACTGCTGAATGAAGAAATGAGTCACACAAGAAATACATTTTTTAGCTTTTGTATTGAACACATGAAAATTAGAACCCAAAATTAGTTGAAATAAAAGAAGTTGTTCAAATGCAATTACATTTTTTCAAATGTTGTTGTGTTTTACATTTTGCAGTTGTGGTTTAAACTTCAGAGCCACTGTATTTGTATGTCAGAGTGTTAAAGTAAAAGGATCAAACATTAGCTAAGTACAGTATCTGTAAAATTGACCGAGTTACGGCCATTTTGTTCGCTAATGTTGAGTAGTTACAGCAGCCACCTTGAATTAGATTGACTCCAAAAGTTAATCTGTTATAGATGTATTTGTGTTTGTCCCCCTACCTCCGGTCCGTGGGGAAAGACTCTGTCGTGACCACATCCAGGGAGTTCCAGGCAGAAATACTCAGACCGTTATAAAGGCACAGCATGAAAATCATCATGGACTCACTGGTGCCAAACCACAGGAAGAAACAGCTGATGCCTGATAGAATCATGGAGCCACCTGATGGGCATGCACACACAAAGCCACTGTTATCATGGTGTCATTATTGTTTTTTTCACGATGATTAAGTAACCAGCACACATTCAAACATGACTACAATCCTGATCTCTTTCTTACCCAACATGGAAAGGCGCCCAATTTTGTCCATCAGAAGGGCTGACACGATGTTGCCAGGTAGAACAGCTAATGTTCCGAGGAAGTTGATGAAGTAAACCCAGTAGGCACTGTAGTCGTCATCAAATGTCATCTGGCATCCTGTCTTGTTGTGAGTGAAAGTGCTGTTAATCACCTCTGTGCCTTCGATCAACTTCGAGTCATCGATATCTGCAGAGAGAATGGACTAACATTACATAACAACTAACATTTAGGTTGTATGTCTTTTTTAACATGCATATACGGCATCACCATTGCTTTGCTACTTTGAAGGCTATTTGTATACAACCTGCACACAATATACAGCATCCCAAATGCAAAAAAAAAATATAGATATCGATGACTCGAAGTTGATCGAAGGCACAGAGGTGATTAACA